ACAGTAGTTGAAAAGAATTACAGAGGCTAAAATTGCAACTAACTTAACATGCTTTAAGAACAGAATGCTGAAAAGAAAACATGCATAAATTTTGTTTTACAGAATAAATATCAACACCTAAAGATCATTGATATAACATGTATTAAACACATAGGTTCCAGTTAATGTTCAATTTAAACCCTAGAGACTATCTAGGTGCACAGAACACGAGCCAAAGAGAAGGAGAAAGAGAAGAACTTGCCTATAGTTTTGGTCTCAAAACTGTGTTGTCATCTTCCTAATTTCCGGCAACCACTGACCACCTTCAAGCCTCTTATGGTTTTGGTTTAATCCCCCACAACTCTCCCTTGGTCCTCTCCGTTCTTCTCCTAAGCCTTGTTCTGTTTTCTTTCGCTCAGTTCTCTCACAAGTCTCTGTTCTACAGACTAACTCACCTTTTGTTTTGTGTTGTTTTTAAACCCTAATCCACTGTAACATACTTATTTATAGGTTTAGACACTAAACCTTAATCCACATATAACTCGGCCCATAGAACAACCTAAGCTATATTTAATTGACGGCTTCCTATGTAAACTGTAAACCCTAAAAGAAAGTCACGTTGAAAACTAACTAAACCTAACTAAATCAGTCATTTAAAACAATTAACTTAAAACAATTAAATTATTAAAATCCATAAAATTAACTCAACTAAAAATAATTAAATTACAACAAATAAATCCATAAATAAGACAACTACTTAAACCAACACAATTAAAACCAATTTAAAACCATTAATCAATTTATCACTTAAAGCAAAAAAAACAAAATCTAATTAAACAAACCCACAAGTAATTCACACAAACAAACAAACAAATACAAATAACAAATTAAATGAATTAAAAATACAATTAAACAATTAAATAAATACCAGAACTATCATTTTAAAATTAGGGGTATTACACATTTTATTATAATCTCTCTTTTGGGGATATGGTGTGGATCTCTGATTGCGAGAATGTGATGATTGATATCCTTCACGGTAATAAGAATTGTAGTTATTTTTACCACGACCATATTTATTATTGTGGCCATTTCTACCACCACGACCACGTCCACGTTCGCGTCTACGACCACGGGATGAGGCAACATATGTTTTAGGGATCGGTGTCGATCCAGTTGGACGGGACTGGTGGTTTCTTAACAAAAGCTCATTATTTTGCTCTGTCATAAGCAAACATGATATTAACTCTGAATATTTTTTAAATCTACGCTCTCGACATTGTTGTTGCAAGAGTACATTCGAAGCGTGAAATGCGGTGAATGTTTTTTCCAGCAAAAATTCATCAGTAATAGTATCACCACATAATTTCAAGGTAGAGTTGATTTTGAATAGGGCAGAGTTATATTCAGCCACAGTTTTAAAATCTTGCAACCTCATTAGCTGCCAATCAGCCCTGGCCTTTGGGAGGATAACTGTTTTTTGATGATTATATCTTTCTTTCAAATTGTTCCACAAACAAAGTGGATCTCTTTCAGTGAGGTATTCAGTTTTCAGTTCCTCACTAATATGGCACCGGAGAAAAATCATGGCCTTTGCTTTATCTTGTAATGATGCATCATTGTCTCCTTTAATTGTGTCTACAAGACCCATGGCATCCAAATGGATCTGAGCATCCAAAATCCATGATAAATAATTTTTGCCAGAAATATCCAGGGCCACGAATTCCAACTTTGTCAAATTTGACATTTTCAGAATAACTAGATGTGACAATAATATAAAAATATAATTTAGCATAGTATATAAATAAAATGGCATTAAATGAAATAATAACATAATATAAATTATTTAAATAACAAAGATGGTAAATCCAACCATAGTAAATAAATTATTAAACAATAAAGGCGGTAAAATTGGCCATAAATCAGTAAATAATAAAGGTGGTAAGACCGACCATAATTAGTGGATCAGTAAATAATAAAGGTGGTAGAACCGACTATAGTGTAAGTACATATATTATTCAAGTGAACAAATTTATTTTATGAACAATAATCCATAATTAAAATTTCCTTACCCTTTGGAGTCAGAAATACTATTTTCTTCGATAAAGCAAACCAACCCAACAATCTATCAAAACCAATATCACAAAATAGATATATAGTTTGGATAGAAAGAGGGAGAGAAAACTTCTTCTTCAAATTTAAGATCGATCGAGGTCGTGCTGATAACGTGTAATAAATATATGTGTATGTATATATATATAATACAATACTTATTTAGAGAAATAAAAGGAAAACTTTTAGAGAGACAGAGAGATAAAGCGAAAAGAGATAGAGAAAGAGAATGAAAATCTTGTATTTTTTTATATCCAACAATAGTACACATACATGGCCTTATATAGGCTTACATTGAAGCTTCCTTGGTACGCCACAGATGCAATCTTCCATTGTAAGCTTTAAACCTTGATGTCATGGATGACCTTTAATAATGTTTTTTGGGGGGGGGGGGTTTCAATAATTTTTTTGGGGGAGGCGGTCGAATCCTTCAATAATGTTTTCGACCCAGCATACCTTGCAGATGGCAACCCATGCGCCATCCCAGGAGCATACCCAAAGAGGCCCTCATCGGTGACAACTGAACACGCTGCCGCGACGGAGGTGTGGGTTCCATGGCAGCATGGCATCCTTCGTCCCTCGGGGATTTTCCCTTGGCGATTTTGATTCTTTGAAGTCATCAATTGGACTGGTTCCTGTGAGGAACAATTTACTTACATACGATGAGAAAAGGCTTCTGGTTTGGGTATTGGCCGTTTGGGTTTGAAGTTGGAGTTTTTTGGGGCAAATATGGTGAGAAATGGCGAGATTGAATTGACAGACGATGAAACTTCTAGCTCTCGCCGTCGTCGTTAAAGATACTGTCGCAAGAGAATATGGGTTTTTTCAACTTTTTCTCACTCTCTCTCTTTCAATTTTTTTCCTCGACCAGATAAAAACAAGAAGTTTCCTCATTGGTTTGCTTAAGAAAATTTCAGGCGCCGCGAATCCCAATCTTGGGGAATGAAGCAGTTCGTGGTGTATCGTCGGCAGCCGGTAATCTTTTAGTGATATCAAGGACTCTGATGATGAAATCCCTTCCAAAATGACTCCAACAGTAAGAATTCAAAGATTCAATCAGTTTGTAATAGCACAGATGCACCATTGGAAAACGCAGGGGAAGTTTCAGCTCTCGCCGTCAGTGTTGAAGATGTCGTCACCGGAGATTCATCACTTGATACCCAGGTTCTGGGCTGTTTGCTAGAAAATATATCAAATATGAAAGGTTTCAGAGGGGAAAACAAATAGCTTGATTTATGGGTCCTTTCACTCATCATCCTAATGGAAGAAAAGCTAGAGGATTTTAGTGTTTTAAAGTCCCTATTTTTATTTGTGATGACCTTGAGAAGATTAGTTTTTTGTAGGGGTGCACACGGTTCCGGTCGGAACCGGAACCGTTCACAACGGTTCCTTAAAAATGGAACCGGAACCGGAACCGTATAGGGTGGAACCGAACCGAACCGGAACCGAACCATGAATACCGGTTTGATTCCATGGAACCGACTGTTAATGAAGATCTAAAGAGAAGATTAGGAGTGACTAGTGAGGATGAAGATCTGAAGATGTAGGCGATGACTGAAGTCTGAAGCTTGAGATGAGACTTATATCAAGATTAAGATTTTTTCCTCAATCTCATTGGGAAAACTATTCATGTAGTGGCTGAAATATGTTTGTTTTTTATATGATCCAAACACACACCAAACAGTGATGTGTAGCTAGCCGCGGAAGTTATTCTAGGTGTACAAGAAAGACTTATATAAAAAAAATATATATCAAGCTTGAGATGAGACTTGATTTGAAGATCTGAAGAGGAGGAGATGGTGAGGGTGAGGGCCGATAAGAGGAGGCGATGGTGAGGGCGAGGGCCGATGAGAGGAGGCGAGGGCGATGGCTGATGAGAGGACTCAGAGGAGGCGAGGGTTTAGGTGATGAGAGAAGGTTGGAGGCTATGACTGAAGTCTGAAGCTTAGGGCAAAAACTGAAAAAGTAATGTTTTATTTAAGTTTTTCACTTTTTCTTTTGTGGTTAGCTTAGGACCACGTGGCTGCCTGATCAGTGTTTATTGTGTTTAGAGACTTAGAGTACTATTTGGTTACGTTTTTAGCCTATTAAGTTAGTATAGTTACTTTATATAATTAAATATATATACGGTTCCGGTTCTTACCGGTTCACACGGACCGGAACAGGGACCAGAACCGTATGTCAATGGTTCCTAAATTCGGAACCGGAACCTGAACTGGAACCGTGAGAACCAGAAAAAACGGTTCTGGTTCCGGTTTCACGGTTCCGGTTCTTTTGTGCACCCCAAGTTTTTTGTGATACAAAGAGAGTGTAATCACCGTCGTAATGCTGGACAAGAACGAGGTAAGCCGGATCAAAGACCATGGCGGCGAAGTTCACAGCTAACTCGACCCAGCTCAGTCCAGCGAAGCTTCGCGGTTTGTTCATTGCACGTTGGTGGTCTCGCGATGGAGGATAGCGACTGTGATAAAAACTAGCAAACTGTCCTTGCAATTGAACAACGGGCAACGAACTATCCTTGCAATTGCACGGCAGGCAGTAAGGAGAACGGCTCGGTTGTGATAACAACCATCTTTTTCTGTGGTTGCTGTTTGTGTATTCTATCGGTGGCATAGTTTCTTCATCGCCGGCAACAATGAAGAAGAAAGGAAAAAAAAGAAAAGAAATAGAAATATATATATAGAGAGAGAGAGAGAGAGAAAGAGTATGTATGTATATATGTGTGAGGGTGTTAAAGTCTTTTCCTTTAAAGTATAAATTTTAATATATAATTCAAGGATAAAACAGTAAAATCACACATTTTCGTCGGTAAACTGGATGGTGGTTACTTACAGGAGTGTAGGTGAAATTATGAAACACATACGAGTGTTTGTGGAATGCAGGTGGAATTAACCCAAAAATATATTGTTATACACCTTCCTAAACCAATCGGCCGTTTAAAGGGCGGCGTTTTTATACAGCTAGTCTCGCGAAAGGAAAGATTTATTGTAAGACTCGCACAAGTCACAAACCGGTTTATTTTGTTACAAGTCCTACCAGAGTTTATGTAAATAGCGTCTCGCAGAGGGTGGAATGGAAGAGAGCGAGGTGGTTAAGCGCAAGAGGACTGCCGTTGGGAGTCGACTGTGCTCCATCTGTAACCAAACAAGGGCCGCCCTTAAGCGACCCAAAACCCTAGAACAGGTAATTCACTCGGCATATTTCTCATAGTCTGCACACAAACATATACAGGTGTGTGTATATATATATGTATATCTATATATGTTGCTTCTGTAACTTCTTTTGTATTATGTCTTTCTCTCGCCCTTTGCACAGTGGCTGTTATAAGATTGAGATACTTCATTTTCAATAATTTCCTAGTAAGCTTTATTTGTTTCTCTCTCGAAACCTTTCTGATTATACAGTCTCGGCACTGAAATGAAATTACTGTTACTGGATTACAATTTTTCTTTTTCCTTGTCAGCTATGAAACCTAGCATAAATTGAATAAGATTTTATTTTATTTTATTTTATTTTCCTGTAAATTATAGATTGAATAAGGTTGATTTAAGATTTTATTGAGAAGATAGAATAATTGCAGAGACTTATGTTCAAGTAAATTTTGTTAACTTGTTGCAAAACTGAAGGATTTTGGGGGGCAATATTGGATTTTTTTTAGGAATTTCAGGGGGGCAAAAGTAATATTTTATGGGTATATTACTGAAAATAAACAAATTATAAGGGTATATTACTAAAAAAAATAAAAATTCAGGGGGGGGCAATTGCCCTCCTGACTTGTATGTCGCTCCGTCCATGGACACAGGAGAATTTGGCAACACTGATAATTTTTTTAGCATTGTTTGACACACATTCATAAGTACACACACAACCGTGCTATGCAATGGGTTTGGATTCAACAGCTTTGTTTTTTTCCCTCTAACCAATTGGGTGGGTGTTATATTATATAAAGGCTAAATTTGTGTGTCTAAAGATCTGCAGGGAGTGTTTTTATGCGGTGTTTGAGGAGGAAATCCATAGGGTAATTGTTGACAACCAGCTATTCAAGCCTGGGGAACGCGTTGCCATCGGGGCTTCTGGTGGAAAAGGTGAATGCATATCTGTAACTGACTATTTTATAACTCTGCTCATTATGGATTGCGGATTGCCCAAACACACGAGTTATTTGGTGATTAAATTAAAATTTCCTTCCGTTAAATTCAACCACAAAGAAGCTTGTTAGCGTAACTTATAAATAGTTGAGGTTTGTAGAATGAATGTTTGGTTGATTGTCATATAGTACCAATGTAATAGATGTTTTAGTTATCACCTTGTCTTGTTTTTTTCAGAAATATCGAAGATGAAATAATTTCTGTGTATAAAAGGACTTGATTCAATTGTTTTCTTTTTACACTTTTTCATTTTCTTTGAGGTTGTATGTTTAATTCGTCATGAAAATATCCGATGGCTGAGGTTCCGGGGTACTTTCTCTCTATAAGAACTAAGAACCCAATATATGTAGCAAAGTAACTGGAGTTTCATCCAACTTCAGCTTGAATTTTCTCTCATTCTCTTGCTGCTGCTTGAAAAGTCTATCTTGACAATCGAGAATACTAGTGCTTTTTGATAAGTAAAAGTTGTATAAAAGCACTGAAAAGGGAGCGCATCCCAAGAGAACTACAAAAGGCCAAATAGGGCCTCTAGACATTCAAAGAGGCCAAAAAATCAACAGTCTCCTTTAAAGATTTATAATATCTCCTTACAACCCAATAAAAAAGAGTAAAAATAATAGAGAACTTAAGCATAGAAATTGGATTCTCCTTTCCTTCGAAAGATCTCTTGTTCCTCTCGAGCCAAATACACCACCAAACACACAAAGGCGTAACCCTCCAAACATCCCGGACTTGGGCCCCCACTATACAACCTCTCCAAGCCTCAATCAACCCTGGAGGATTTGGGCATGACCCACAGAATTCCAAACAGACCAAGCGTCAAATCCCATCAATCTCTAGCAATGGTGCAATGCAAAGAGAGGTGGTCCATTATCTCCTCATCACGAAGACACATACAACAATAGTTGACCACAACCTGATTCATTCTCCTCAAATTGTCCTGGGTCAAAATCTTCCCCAAAATAGATGTCCAAGCAAAGAAGGCCACCTTATGGGGAGCCCTAGATCGCCAAACAGCCTTTCACGGGAAGGAAACAACAGACTCTTCCGTGAGACACCTATAGAAGGACCGAACATCAAACCGACCCTGAGAAGTAGGGACCTAAATCCAATAATCAGAAACACCACCCGTGATCTCCTGATGATACAACAACTCCAAAAAACCAATGGCACTCTCAATTTCCCAATCCTGAAAGTGTCTCCTGAAACGAACATTCCAAGACAATCTCCCGCTATCAAGCCGATAGTAGTTGACTGCCATAGCCTGCCTATCCGTGGCAATCCTGAAGAGTCGGGGGAAAGCCAAAGCAAGAGAGCGGTCACCACACCAAACGTCCTCCTAGAAACTGATCCTCCTACCATCCTTGAGTTGAAATATAATGTGTTTAGAGAATCCATCCCACCCTTCCGAATGAGTTTCCAAACCCCCACACCCTTTGGAAAACATCCCTTAAGAGAACACCACCCTCCTCTCCCCAAATCTACTCGCTATCACCCTCCTCCAAAGGCCATGCCTCTCCACCCCAAACCTCCATAACCACTTCCCAAGAAGAGCCTTATTAAAAGGCACCAATCTTTTAAAACCTAGACCTCCATTCCGGATTGGATTGCAAACTTGCTCCAATCGAACAAGATGATACTTGAACTCCTCCCCCACAGAAAATTCCGCCGCAATCTCTCAATTCTCTCAGCCATAAAAGAGGGAATCTGGAATAGAGAGAGAAAATAAGTGGGGAGGCTTGAAAATGTGCTCTTAATCAGAGTGACCCTTCCACCCTTGGAAAGGTACTGCATCTTCCATCCCACCAGTCTCCTCTCGAATCTTTCTACAATAGTATCCCAACTGCCCACACACCTCGAGTATGGTCCAAGGGGTAAATCCAAATAAGAAATGGGAAAGGAGCCAACACAACATCCAAGGATATCAGCCAATGACGCGATCTTAGGGACCTCCCAACCGGCACCAAAACGCTCTTCCCCACATTCACCTTTAAGCCGGAGACAACTTAGAACCAAATCAAAACACATCTCAACTATCTGATTTGGGACACATTCGCATCACAAAACTTATCTGCGAACATCAAATGAGAGATCTCCAACTGACTAGCAACATCCCTGCCCAGTGCCCACCTTAAAACCTCTCAGAAAACCCAAATCCACAGCCCTCCTCATCAATTTACTAAGAGCCTCCATCACAATAAGAAATAAGAAAGGCGGAAACGGATCCCCCTATCTCAAACCCCTCGAACTATAGAAAAATCTCGCCGGGGCACCATTCACAAGAACAGAGAATCGAGTACTAGAAATACAAAACTGAATCCATCTCCTCCATCTCACCCCAAACCCCACCCTCCCCATCAAATAGAGAAGGAAACTCCACTCACATGATCGTACGCCTTCTCAATGTCCAATTTGTAAAGAACATCAGGAACCCCACTACACAATCTGGAATCTACACATTCATTAGTAATAAGGGCTGAATCCAAAATCTGACGACCTCCAACTATCCCATCTAAGACTTTCCTTAATCTCGCAGCAAGAATCTTGGCAATAAGTTTGTAGATGCGTCCCACCAAATTGATAGGACGAACCCCCCCCCTCGGAATGAGAGCAAAGAAAGTGGCATTCAGACTCTTCTCAAAACTGCCCTGATCGTAAGAAACTTGAAAGGTACCCATCACCTCCCCTCTAACCACCTCCCAACTCTCCAGAAGGAATCTCATGAAAAAACCATCAGGACCCGAGGCTTTATCCCCATTACAACTCTTCAAAGCGGTCAAGACTTCCTCTTCAGAAAATGGCTCCTCCAACCCAGAGCACTACTCACTAGAAATAGAGTCAAACTGAAACCCACCAAGCAAAGGTCTCCAACAAGGGGTTTCTGTGAACAACTTCGAATAGAAATCAGCGATACCCCTACAAACCTCCTCCTCCTTACATAATAACTCCCCTTCCACCCGGATCCTCCCAATATGATTGCCCCTTCTGTGAGCATTGGCAAGTCTATGGAAGAACTTTGTGTTTCTGTCACCCTCCTTGAACCACAACGCTCTAGACTTTTGCCTCCACGAGATCTCCTCCATAATGGCAATAGCGGCAAACTCCGCCTTGCATTCCACCCTCTTACTCCCCAGCTCCAAGCAATCAATCTCAGACAAAGCTTCATTCTTCCTCCATTCCAAGTTCCCGAAAACCTCTTTGTTCCATATCTTAATGTCAACCTTCAAAAGACGCAATTTTCTTGCAAGGGCTTGACTTGGAGTGCCAACCACCCCATAACCCTCCCACCACGACCAGACCCTGTCAAGAAAGCCCTCTGCACAGAGCCACATATTCTCGAATCTGTATTGTGCAGTCCAATTAAATGGGTTGTTTGGATATAATATAACCTTCTTAATATGTAGTTGTTAAGCTTGGATTTTCTTATTTAGTTTGAGTGACCATAGTGTAAAGTTGGGAACAACGAATTCTAATATTAGTTAAAAGATAGACTATGAATGTAGTGTCTACTTTAGGCATCTAAGTACCTCATTGCACTTGAATACAAGAATGATGTTCTTATGTTATTGCTGTGATATGTTGCATAATGCAATTTTACTCATCTGCACAAATATGAAGTTGTACGCTTTTTAAATACTTTTTGTGAGACTGACTAGTGATGGAACAAAAATTGTTCAAAGGGGGAATCCGCGTTTGATGGTTTATCATTGTTCAAGTGAATCTATTAATTTGTTTGATCAGACCATCTTATAGATAGACTCTCTTTGCTGAATCAAAATAATCATTTGTGAATTCCTTTAAAAAAAATTATTATTATTATGATTATTGTAATTTTACTTCCTAACTCCTTAGATAAAAACTAGGGGGATCAAAATGAGAACTTTTGCTGTCATTATTCTTGATCTTTCATGATAGAATTTCTTGCTTAGGCTTTACAAATTGAGAGAGGTGCTTTTGTGAAAGGTATCCTCAAGCTGTGTACCTTTTCCTTAAGGTATGGAGAGAAAACTTGTGGAATATGAATATGCCGTTACTATATGGGTGTAAACCCATCAATTTCAAGCCATTTCTTGATATGCAAATTCAGGATTTTGATTTATTTTATTTCATGTATGTCTCTTCTTCTTCTTTGTTTGTTTGTTGGGTAGTATCTTCATTATATCTTTAGGATTTTTCATGTATATCTTCATTTCATGCACGTCATTGATGCATAATTACTTTTGTGGAATTGACTCAATTTGTGTCATGATGTTGCCATCCCATTGCGAATCATGAACCACAGAAAGTTATAATTTTTTTTCTTTTTCTTTTCATCACCCTTTCCCCTGTTCTTTGCAGATTCGACGGTGCTTGCTTATGTGTTATCAGAATTGAACCGTCGGCACAATTACGGCTTGGATCTCTTCCTCTTATCGGTTGATGAAGGCATCACTGGGTACCGAGATGACTCACTTGAAACTGTCAAAAGAAATGAAATTCAGGTGAGCACTTCTTGATATGTTGAATCAGTTTCAGTCATTGAGCTTGTTGGGGCAGTTTATATGATAATTTTCATGCATGTAATGTATGGTTGTATATTGCCTGTTCCCATTTATTTTTGGCGAAATATATGTATTTTCCTTCATCTGGAGGTCGTGCTGTGCTGTCAACCTGTAAGAGCCAAACCTTTTTAAGGCATTTTGTTTTTGTAGTTCCTATCATTCTAATTGGCTCTTATTTAATTTTATGTGTTGAAACTTCAGGGACTTGTAAGAGTTAACCATTATGAAGCCAAGTGAAAAAAGTAATAAAATTAGTTCTTAATCATGCAATGCCTATTCCTCCATTTTCCCATTCAGAATTTTCTGCAAATTACATATATACTGAAGTCGTAGGAAATTTGACATCAGGTAATTTATATAAGTTCTGGGGAAGTATACTTAAGGTAATTTATGCAAGCTTGAGTAGTTCTAGTTCTATACATTCAGCCACTGGTAAAGGCTATACACTGTATACTGGATGGGTGTGTAGAACTTAATACATATTATATTATTCATTTTGCTGCTTCTGGTGTTTGGGAGCAGCTGTAATGATTGCTTACATTTTGTTACTACTATGTGTATTGCTGTTGAAATTCTTTTATAAATCACTTTTCCTTTATTAATCAGTACTGACCTTTTAATTTCCATGCTCATTGTTCTGAGCATATCTCTTTTCCTTTTCTTTTTCCTATAAATTTTTTTCTTTTATTTTTACTTCGATCCTTCTCTGTTCGTGTAATTCAATTCTTTGTCTATTTGTTTCAGTACGGACTCCCACTAAAAGTTGTTTCCTACAAGGAATTATACGGATGGACAATGGATGATATAGTGAAGATGATAGGTTTAAAGAATAATTGCACTTTTTGTGGTGTTTTCCGTCGCCAGGTAAAGGAATTATTCATTATAAAATTAATGAGCTTGAAAGATTTCTGCAAGTTCCACTATTCTACTACATGCGGCGGACTTTTGGTATTTGGCACCTACTCTTCTTTAATTAGACCACTTGTTCAGGGCTTGAAAATGGATACTAGCCTAAGCACACCCAATTCTCGACTCTTCAGTGCTTATCTAATAATATTCAGGAAAAAAAAAATGTTTATCTTATATCTTTGTGTTCTTCTGTGGTCTAGGGCTTCAAACATTTGCTTTTGCCACCATGAAAGTGGTGAACTTCAATTCAGGCTAGCAAATATATATATATATATATATATATTTTTTTTTGATAAGTAAGAATTTTATAAAAAGCGCTCAAAAGGGGAGCGAATCCCATGGAAACAAAAGGCCACAAAAAGCCTCAAGCCGTCAAAGAGGCCAAAAAAATAACAATCTCCTCAACAGAACGATAATCTCTCCCTGAGACCCAACAAAAAAGAGTGGAAATAATAGAAAACTTAAGCATTGAAATGGGTTTCTCCTTGCCATCGAAATATCTCCGATTCCTCTCGAGCCAAGAGCACCACCAAGAGAGGGGTAGCCCTCCAAGCATCCCGGATGAGAGTCCCAACTGAGAAGCCTCTCCAAGCCTCAATCAACCTTCTGTAAGAACATGGCATAACCCAGGGGACCCCAAATAACCCAATCATCAAATCCCAACAATCTTTGGCCATACTGCAATGCAACAGAAGGTGATCCACAGTCTCCTCATCGCGTCGACACAAGTAACAGCGATTGATAACCACCTGATTTCTCTTTCTCAAATTATCCTGGGTTAAAATCCTACCCAAGACAGAAGTCCAAGCAAAGAAGGCCACCTTAAGGGGAGCTTTGGAGCGCCAAATAGCCTTTCAAGTGAAAGGGCCACCCTCCCCAACAAAAAGGCACCTGAAAAAGGATCTCACCTTGAACCGACCCTGAGAGTGTGGACTCTAAAGCCAACAATCAGACTCCTCATGAGAGATCACCTAACGATACAGTAACTCAAAAAAACGAGTGACCTCCTCAATTTCCCAATCCTGAAAATGCCTCCTAAACTGAACATCCCAAGTTAGTCTTCCATTATCAAGATGATAACAGTCAACCACCAAGGCCTGCCTGTCAGAAGCAATCCTGTAAAGCCGAGGGAAAGAAGAGCAAGGGGAAGCTCTCCACACCAAAGGTCTTCCCAAAATCTGATCCTCCTACCATCCCTGATCCAAAAGCGAACATGATTACGAAAAACATCCCATCCCTTTCGAATGCAAGTCCAAACCCCCACACCCCTAGGACCACGCACCTCAAGAGAACACCACCCACCATTAATTTCCCCAAACTTGTTGGCAATAACTTTCCTCCAAAGCCAAAGCCTCTCAACCCCAAACCTCCAAAGCCATTTCCCAAGAAGAGCCCTATTGAAAGGCAACAACCTTCGAATCCCTAAACCTCCATTCCGAAAAGGACGGCACACTTGCTCCCATTGAACTATATAATATTTGAACTCCTCCCCCCCCCAAACAAAGAAAATTACGTTACAAACATTCAATTCTCTTAGCCACCGAAGAAGGAATCTGAAAAGGGGAGATAAAATCGGTGGGAAGGCAAGAGAGAGTGCTTTTGATCAGAGTGACCCGCCCCCCTTTGGAGAGGTATTGGTTTTTCCAACCCGCCAGCCTCTTCTCAAATCTATTCACCACCAGATCCCAACTCCCCACACATCTCGAAGGAGCACCCAGAGGCAAACCTAAATAAGAAATGGGAAAAGAGCCAGTGCGACATCCAAGGATCTGAGCAAACATCTCGATATTAGGAACATCCCCAACCGGCACTAAAACACTCTTTTCGACATTCACTTTAAGCCTAGAGACAACTTGGAACCAAATCAAAACGCATCTCAAATGTCTCAGCTGGGACGCATCAGTATCACAAAGAACCAAGCTATCATCCGCAAACATCAAGTGAGAAATCTCCAACTGACTAGCAACATCTCTACCCACCCGAAAGCCTCTTAACAATCCTATCTCAACAGCCCTTTTCAACAACCTGCTAAGCGCCTCTATCACAGAAAGAAAAAGGAAAGGAGAAAGCGGATCCCCCTGTCTCAATCCCCTCGAACTAGAGAAAAACCCCGTCGGAGCTCCATTCACAAGGATAGAAAAGCGCGTACTAGAGATACAAAAAAGAATCCATCTCCTCCATCCCCCCCCCAGAACCCCATCCTCATCCTCTCCATCAAGTACATGAGGAAACTTCAACTCACATGGTCGTAAGTCTTCTTACTGTCCAGCTTACACAAAACACCCGGCACCCCACTACTTAACCTAGAGTCTACACATTCACTAGCAATAAAAACAGAATCCAAAATCTGATGGCCTCCCACAAAAGCATTCTGAGAATCAGAGATGACGCCGTCCAGAACCTTCCTTAGCCTAGAGGCTAAGACTTTAGCAATCAACTTGTAAAAACATCCCACCAAACTAATAGGACGAAAATCCCTTACATCCAGCGCACCTCACTTTTTCGGAATGAGAGCAATGAAAGTGGCGTTCAAGCTCTTCTCAAAAGAGCCATGAGCATGGAAAGCGTGAAGAAAAGAGCCTATCACATCATCTCGGACCACCTCCCAGCAGTCCAAAAGGAATCTCATGGAAAAACCATTTGGACCTGGGGCTTTATCCCCGTTACATCTCTTCAAAGCAGACAAAACTTCCTCTTTAGAGAAAGACACCTGCAGTAATGAACTCTCCTCACCCGAAATAGAGTCAAAATGAAGCCTAGCCAGTAAAGGTCTCCACCCAACCGGTTCAGTGAACAAAACTGAAAAGAAATCAGCAAAACCTTTACAAATCTCCTCTTCCTTGAAAAACATCTCCTTATCCACCCGAATCCTCCCAATATGATTGCCTCTTTTGTGAGCATTTGCAAGTCTATGAAAAAATTTCGTGTTGTTGTCACCTTCCTTGAGCCACAAAGCTCTAGACTTTTGCCTCCAAGATATTTCCTCCATAACAGCAATCTCAGCAAACTCCGCCTGACACTCCACCCTCCTAAGTTTCAAGGAATCTGTCAAAATACCCTGAACCTCCAATCTATCAATATCAGCAATATCAGAGAAAACTTTATTCTTCCTCCACGCAAGATTACCGAAACCTCTTTGTTCCAGACTTTAAGATCATTCTTCAAAAAACGCAGCTTACCTGCAAGAGAGTGACTAGGGGTGCCAACAACTCCATACCCCACCCACCAAGAACGGACACGATCCAAAAAACCCTCAGCTCGAAGCCACATATTCTCAAACCTGAAAGGGGATCTTCTACTGCGCTGCCCACCACAATCCACAGCAACGGAACATGGTCAGACAAAGAACGAGCCAAAGTGGCCTGGACAACATCCGAAAAGTGCTCCTCCCAATCGCTCGACACAAGGAATCTATCAAGTCGAGAGAAGGTAGGAGGAGAATGACTACTAAACCAAGTGAAGGGCCTTCCCACCAAAGGCAGATCAATCAATCCAAAAACATCAATAAACTCCGAAAAAGACTCCATCTCGACCGTCCACCTACCACCCGATGACCTCTCAAACGGGGAACGAACAACATGGAAATCCCCGTCAATACACCAAGGCAAAGACCATCTCCTGCGAACCTCTCCCAACTCCTCCCAAAGCAAATGACGCACACTGTCCTCTGTAGGACCATAAATGCCAGAAAAAACCCAACGAAAATCATCCTCCAACACAGAGAAAATGCAGGAAGCAGAGAAAAGCCCAACTTGAAAGTCCATCATAGAGACCCATTGGTTATCCCACATCACAAGAACACCACCCGCAGAGCCAATAGCATCCAAAGCAAACCATTCCACAAATCTTCCTCCCCATAAGCTACGCACCAACAAATCCGTCATCGTCTCAATCTTTGTTTCTTGCAAACACGCAACATGCCCACCTCCTTTACGAATCACCGCCTTCACCACTTTTCTTCTAGCCGGGTTATTAAGATCCCGAACATTCCATGAGAGAATTTGTAGCTTCATAAGGAAACAATAGAGCAAACAGACTCACCGCTCCCTCCACAACCCTTCTCCCTAGAACCCTTGTTTCTTCTTTCATAAGTGACAAGTGTCGTTGGGCTCAACACTCCCCTCTCCTCCACCTCCACCGGAAAGCTCCCCCCACTCCCCCTCCCGCCCATTCTTTCCAAATGCTGAGAATTCAAAACCTCCAGAAACAGATTTGTCGCCTCCTCCATTCTATCTTCAAAAGAAACTCCCAACAAAGAGCTAATCTTAACTCTTTTCTCCCTCACCCAATTCTCCTCCCTATCAGCCCTTCCTGAATCCAAACCAGCCCCATCCTCAAAAACCTCATCCGGATGAACAACAGCCAAAGGAGCAAAAAAATCAAAATTCGTCTCACTGCCATTCCACTGACCCATCCCCAAATCCTTAAAAAAAGAAGAACATGATCCACAAAGACCAGCCAGCGGGGTCCTTTTTTCCTCAGCAGTCAAAGGCCCATTTGTCCCACTCTGAAAACCTTTAAAGGCTAAGTGAGTCCGCAACTCACTCAATAACACAGTCGCAGAAGCATCATCTAAACAAATTTTCAAATCACGCCCCACACACTGTAACACTCTCACCCTTCTGAACCACAGACCGAGATGGACCCAATCCGTCAACCTGGAAATCCCCAAGAACATCCTTCCGCCCATTCTTCAAACCATCCTTCAAGTCCAAGGAAAGGTTGTTGGACAGAGAAGACACAGGCCTCAACAAACCCTTCGAGCAGCTCCTCGAAAAATCAGAAGAAAAAGAATGGGAAGAAGAAGAAGGACCCACAGGCGAAGAACAATTCAAAGAGACCAACTTACCCAGGAGAGAGTCTGAATTAGGAATCCATTTTTGTTTCTCCTTTTGAGTCCATTTTCTTCGCATGGCCGGGAGGAGGATCCTCTTCTTAAATCTCAGTCAGTGCCCTTGAGAATGAGACTTTGTACGCCGTCCGTCTTTGGAGAGTGATGAACCAGACAACTGAGATGGACCAGCAATAGAGAGTGGTCCAAACCGGTTGGCCGCATCCAGTCCAGAGCAAAAAGGCCCGGGAATAATAGGCTCTGAACTTGGCCCACAGCCCAAAACAGTTGATGGACCATCTGAGCAAAGAGGGGCCGCCTCACCATTATCAGTCCCACACATCATAGACCCATGAACATTATTAAAGTTAGGCCCAGAAACTGGCCCATCAGAAAATGAGTCTTGACCCCGCACAACAATAGCCCCAATCGCTGGCCAATCACTGCCCAGAAGCAAGCCCGCCACCGCCTGAGCCCAAATTAACTTTCCTCGCCCCAATGCCAGAATTCAAATTGGTTACAGTTGTAACCCATTTGAAACGGTTGTCATTTCTGCGCCAACCACGTGTGTGGTCACCGTCGCTTCCCCATCTACGCGCCCGATGCGCGTGAAAGCCACCTCGATGAAACCTTCGTTCCCAACTCTGCAAAAACATCTGCCGCCTCTGCAAATCCCGGCGACCAAGATTCCGGCCACCAACCTTCGAGGAAGAATGGCTATCCCTCCTACGCTGAGTAAAGATCCTTCTAAAACAGGCAGTGTTGCGATCCCAAAGCTTATCTCTCCATTCCTTCCATCTCTGAAACTCCTCCATCCCTTTCTCACCCATGGAGACCCACCTCAACCACTCCACTTCTTTCAGCAAGTGAGAACCATCACCCCCTTCTAGACTGTCCGTTGTCGGGACGAGTTGTGGAAGAGTCTCCTCCCAAACAGCCACTTCATAGCAAAATTGGTCATCATGAACAAAAATGAAAGTCGGGCAAGCACAACCATCTGACACGGTAATCCGAACCCTCTCAGCATCAATGGATTCATCCTCATCCACCCAAATGAACCCTCCACACAAATCCCCAACCGTCACAAAAAGAGCATGGTTCCATAGGTGAAGAGGAAGGCCGTACAACAGAACTTTCTTCAGCCCTTTCTCTTTTAACACCTCCGAGCATCCCACCCTAAAATTCCACGAATCCACACAAAGAGTGGCCTTCCCTCAGTCGCGGCGTCCCTCTTTGAGCACCTCCACCTTAGATGGGAATCGAAAGAGGAGCAAAGAATCCGGCAAAGGCGAGACGACCACCGCCGGCGAGACCTTCCAAGCGCGTGAAGCCCAAGCTGCAATCTGATCTCTATTCCCCACTTCTTTGTCAAATTTTCCTACCAAGCAAGTCTTTAAATCCTCCCTTCTCTTACCAACCGAGTCATCATCCAAGAAGATCGAGTCACCTCTGTAAGTGGAATCGTATCTCGCGAAACCACCCTGAAACAAGCGAGGCAGTCGAGTGACTTCCAAGAAAGAACGCATGACGAGAGAAAAAAGAAACAAACAAGAAAAGTAGCAAACTGTACATCTGACATTATGAAATTAGCAAACTGTCTTTTAGGTTTGTTCTTCTGGTTTTCGTTTGAGGAATTTCAATCCGTGTCATGCATTTTCCGCACAAAGATTTCACTGCTAATGTAGTTATACTAATAAAAGAATATATTTATATATAAATAGTAAGTGGCTACAGTAATGGGAAGTTGTCTAAACATTTTGGGGTGAGGCTAAATTCTGTATTTTTGAATACCTTCAATTTCATAAGATCCCTTGTTCCTTTTGTACACTTGTTTACTAGCTTTTGGCAAATTTCATAACTTCGATGAGTTGTAAAATGAAGAAGATAGAATAAGTTGAATCGTAACGATGGGCCATTTTACTTATTAGGCCCTTGATCGTGGTGCTGCATTGTTGAAAGTAGACAAGCTAGTTACTGGACATAATGCGGACGATATTGCTGAAACGATTCTCTTAAACATCCTACGAGGTGATATTGCTAGGTAATGCATCATTCTACTTTGGGGTTCTCTCTAGGAATTTATTATTATCATTATTTTTCCTTTGCTTTGTTTGGTGAACAAAGTTTGTGCCCTTCACATTATAGGTTGAGCAGATGCACATATATAACCACTGGTGAAGATGGACCAATTCCAAGATGCAAGCCGTTTAAATACACCTTTGAGAAGGAAATTGTTATATATCCTTGACAATGAATTGTATTGCGGATAATTCTTGCATTACATGTTATTTTAACTATTTTCTGATTGGTGATAGTTGCACAACCTTAACTAGCTGTCCACGTATGCGTATTTTAAGAGGCTGGACTACTTCTCTACCGAATGTAATCATTTTCCTAACTTTTCCCAATATTCAATTTTGAGTTTCTTTATTCTAGTACTGTTGGATGATTTTGTCCTCTTCTCTTTTCCTCTATCCCTGTTTGGGGTTCCTGCTTTGGCCTTTTCCATTTCTTGTTTATCTGTCTATGGGTGAGATGACCTGACTGATGGAAGTGACAGATCTATGTCTGAAGTCTGAACTGTTGTGCTGATGTGATGTTGCTTATAACTTGGCATGTTCAGTTGAAATGCCTTTTCCTGTGTAGATGGAATTGACAGGAGCTTGTTCCTCAATCAGTACAGGAGGAGGAGCTTGGGTGTTGACCCAAGTTGGAGTTTTTTTATTCATTAGCTGAACCATCTTAATCTTTCTCAGTTAAATGTTTTTAGCTGCACCTGCATTTCCATCTTTTCATTTGACACTTTAATTGTACTTGTACTGCGGTGCCATTTGGAGTTTAGTTACATGAAGATTATTTTTGGTGTGTCAATTTTCAATTTTGAAGCTCTTTCCACTAAGTGGTGTTTTCTTGGATTTCTTTTTTCTTTTTTTCCAGTTTTACTATATGTATATAAATATATATATATATTCTCTCAAGTGTTACTTTATATATTTATTTCCAGATCTACATATTCCTCTGGCACTCTGGGGTGGTAGACCCCAGATTTTACCTTCACATTTGAAATGGTGGTTTGGGCCTTGTTTTTTTGTTTTTCCTCCCTTGATCATTTTATACATTCAAACTTTGTTTTCATAATCGTTTACTTTGTTTCATATACCTTTGTCCATATTATTTTAAAATTTGTTGTTATTTAATTGCAGGCATTTATTCACCTAATGCTTACCGTGGCTTTGCTCGTGAGTTCATTAAGGATTTGGAAAGAATCAGGTTGTTACTTGGTTGAATATTTATCATTTGTACCTCTTCAAATCCTAAAATGCCTTCTTGTTTTTTGCTTTATCTTATCAATGGCTTATTAATGCAGACCCAGAGCCATACTTGACATTATTAAATCAGGAGAGAATTTCAGGATCTCCACTTCTACAAAAATGCCAGAGCAGGGAACCTGTGAACGCTGTGGTTATATTTCTAGCCAGGTAAGTTTTCTTCTATGATTAATGATGTATTTCTATGATGAAACCTTCTGATTAGGCTCAATACACAAAAGTGACAAGTAGAAAAAAAACATTCATGTGATATATTGGACTATTCTAGGGGGAACCTTATCCTATTGAGACTAATGAGTTCATACCCCTCCAGAAAAAAAATTGAAAAAGGACTTTCAAGTGCACAATACAAATTAGAACTTATATAACCATTCCTCATCCGTATTTGAAACTCTTCTAGCTTTTGGTTTTGGTGAAGATATACTAGTGTGCATCCCTGACTAAATATTTGCATGAAAATGTTCCTTTTCATTGTCATTTTTATATATCCTTTTTTCAATATTGGCTTTTTTTTTTTTTTTTTTTTCTTTTTTCTCCCCACTTTGGTTTTAGCATAATTGTTCATTTGTGTGTTCAATATCTATGGAACTTCCATTCACTTGTTAAATTTATGCTTCCCTTTTAGTACTTCTCTTGTTAAAAAACTACAGCATTGTTATTGTTCAGTGAATATTGAAAGAACATCCTAAAAATTGTATAATTGAGCTATGAAGGGGGAAATTTTTGTCCGGATAGACCGGCAAACTTCTCTTTAGAAAGATCTGGAAAATTGGTTTGAAAGTACTTCATGGAAGATAAATTCATGGCCTAATCATCGAGCCTATGAATGGTTTAAAGCCCAAGAAAAAAAAAAAAAAAGGTAGAAACCCCAAGGGGTTAGCCTTGTTGGAAAAGACTTGGACCCTGGTGCCTCATGAAGTATCAGGTATCAGGATCAATTCCTGCTAGGTGCCCTTGTGATCATATCAATTTTACTGCCTCTAATAGTGAATAGAATGGGAGATGGAACTTCTGGTTTATAATAAGAGCTGATCGCCATCGTCAGATTAATTCTTGCCTTGACTGCCTATAACCTTGTAGATTTATTGAGAAGTGCCTTCATGGATTTATGTTTTTACAATGCTTTACATACATTCACTAATTGTCATGTAGAAATCAGAATATTCATCATTTCTGTTGTTTTAATTTGCAGAAATATTGTAAAGCCTGCGTTTTGCTGGAAGGATTGAACCGGGGTTTGCCGAAATTGGGCATTGGCCGAAGTCGAGGTCTCGATAATGACCGTAATCAAAAGATGAAACAAACTAATGGAACGGACAATATCCAGAGCAAACCATGCGGAACTTTGGACTTCTGATGCAGCTCATACAAATCGCGTCCGATTGATGAGCTTAGAAATTTAGTCCTCATTCAAAACCTCCCGTCAAAATCTTAGGAGTGTTAATAATGATGTGTCCGCAGTTCTTCTGCTATGGAATATTTTGTCCCGAGAGAGAGAGAGAGAGAGAGAGAGTTTAGTAGTTTTTCCCTGTCAAATAAATCGATGCTGTTCAGCTAGTGGTGATGGGGATGGTTCATATATCCTATTTTATTTTAACTGTTGTAATTTATTTTTCGGAACATCCATTCTCTAAGTGAATGGAGCTAGGTTTTTATTTTTTATTTTTTATTTTTTTTAACCCCACTACAGATCTTTAATCATATAATAAGCATTCTTTGTTAGAGTTCATCAATTATGATTCGGGTGAAAATCCGGGTTTATTTTGCTATGTTATATGGGGTTGGATTTTATGAAATGTTTTACAAAAACAAAACAATATCACATTTTTGTGTTACTTTATTTCACGTTAATATATATATATATATATATATATATATATATATATATATATATATATAAGGTAAGAAACACAATTACACTCACTTTGTCTCCCATGGTACTTGAATTCCTAATTTTTTTCTTTTGAAATTGATGAGATACCGTTAGGTTACATATCCTTTGGTGTGGTCAAGTTAATACTGCCTTAAATCTAGAAAAATTATTACGCGATCGTGGACCATTGGTCCCATGACCTTTGAATAGTATGTTGCTCAGATCAATTTTGAGTATGGAAGATATGGAGGGTTGCATGTGTCCGATGATGAATTAGGAGTACTTTAAGATGTCCGATTTTACCATTTGGTAAGAAAATCACCACTTATTACACTAAACTTGAATCCTTCCATCTTTTTTTTTTCGAAAAATAAAAATGTATCACCCATTCCTTGATTACTAACATCTTTCAATAAAAATAGTTGTAAAATAGTTAATAGTTAAAGTATAATTGAAATTTTCAAAATGCTCAGTGCACTTTTGTTCAATGCAAAAAATTATGTCAACAAAATATCTGTGCCTAACAAAATTTGCAATTAATACATTGTAGGTTATATTTTAAATTGTCATTAAATATAATTTACAACTACTGCACTAATTTTTTTTTTGGTCCTTTCTCATATTCCATTTCTTTCTTTCTTTCTTTCTTAATTTTTGTTATTATTTATTTTTTTTATTTATAATTATTCAAACTCCCAACTCAGGGGACATTTTTACTTGCTCAATTAACGGGAAGGTTAAAGATTGTCGCTGAGAGATGTTGAGACGTTGTGTGTTATTTTTTAAACCTTAATATATGTTTATGCACAGTTTTTATATTGCTGGGGCCGTTTTACAATTTTGACCTTTTTCTAACCAAATCGAACATGTCACGTCACTACTGTACTTCCCATTTATTTTCCTCACCATTTATCGAAACACTAAACAACAGAAGAAAACAAAGTACATCCATCTATCTATCTAGACTATCTCTCTCACTCGTCTCTGACTAATCTTGTCCTAATATATTATTTTTCGTATTTCATTCATAGTGGAATCGATGTTTTTTAGACGATAGCGTTAAATACTCGAAAACATATCCATAGGTAAATGAAGATCTTTCTTTTCTAATTCCTCAAATTTCTTTTATATGAATCTGTATCTGTATCTGTTTCTTAATTAGGGTTTATAATAACCAAATTCTATTTTATTGTCTGCAATTATTGTAGAACTTGAACAAAAAAAAAAGTCTCGAAACTATCTTCAACAGTTCTCATGGCCGACGATTCAGTGATCGATCCCGAGCTTATCATTTCTCACAAATTCCCCGAGGTACAATTTCTATTCCAATTCAATATTTGTATATAATCATTGCTGTCCAAGTTTTCATTAATTTTTATTTTAGTTTTTAAGAGTGAAAGGTCAGAAATTCAAACTTCTCTACACCATATTATGAACGTTGGTATAGTTTTACTGTTAGAATACAAGAGGTGGAATTTATATTGATTGACCACAAAAGAGAAACTACTTGTGCTTTGCTAGGTAAAATATACCCAAAAAAAGAATGAAGAAGTCTATTTGACATTGTTTACCATGAAACTTACACCAGATTGTAATTGGTTTTGCCGCGGCTGCTGAATAAACAATTTTAAAAAATGGGATAACATAAGTGTTTCTTCATATGAACTCCTGCGAATTTGATCAATTACTCCGCATGCAGTAGACAGATATATGTTGACCTGAATCTTATACTTCTGTTTTTAACTTCTTTAGCATAAGGTTCTAGTTTTATTTGATTCTACCATACTATAGTGTCTCATAGAATATTGTCAATTCGATTTAGTCAGCTGATTTTATCGAACTCCTGACTTCGTAAAGAATCCCTATTTTTGTTGATTGAAATTTCAGCATCAGGTGTTCTTTGGTGGCTTTTGTTCCATTATTCTTACAAAATTTACTGTTAGTTTGTTAATACAGTCCATCTAGTGGATAGAGCATTGATACACTTCTACTTATCCCACCACAAAATGGTATATACATATATATACTCCACACACACTGACACATCTGAACAGCAACAAACAGGTTTTGAAAGTTACCACTCCGGGAGATAACTTTTCTTCTTTTTAGATTTTGAAGGATTTATTTAGTTGATCACTTTACTTGAGCCACATCTGAGTGTCTTTTTCTATAATATTTTTAAATTGCCTTGGGAACATTTGACTTCTGAATGGATATTTTGGTGACTGCTTTTTGCATTACAACTCCTTGAAATGATTGCTTGTTTAGAGTTAGTTGCGGTGGCTTTCGCCTAGGGATGGCAACGGGGCGGTTTGAGTTGGGGAATACCATCCCCATCCCCATTTAGAATAGGTACCCCCATCCCCATCCAAAATCGTTTATTAAATGGGGTGGGGCGGAGCGGGTTTTGTAGATTACTTTCGTAATTGTATCGAATTTAACAAAAGTAAATAATGAAAACAAAATTTCAACTATAGTAATAATTCTTTTTGTCTTATGCGGATAAAAACAAGATTCAACTTCTCAATTAGGACTTGAGACTTGATATTATTTTAGGAATATCAAAATAATACATAGAAATTCTCAAATAAAAATAATTCTTAAAAGGACATTTTGTTGCTGGAATAGAATAAACTAGGATTTGCTTAATATATACCTAATATTATTGAATATAAAACAAAGTATAAGGATAAAATTGTAATTGGTCGTTGCTGACTGCTATCGCCTTAATAACGGAAGGCTGTCTTGGGATGTGCGCTTCCGGCGAGTTTTTCAGGATTGGGAGTTGGATGATGTCACTGGGTTTTTGGCTCTCCTTTACAGACAGGAGGTGGAGGGTACAGGTCCAGTCCTTTTTTGTGTGCCTCTGGTGGCCTTTTTTGTGTGGACTGCAGCTTGGAGTAAGATTTTGACTTTGGACAACTTGAGGAAGCGAAGGCATATCATTGTTAATCGGTGTTGTCTTTGCAAGATTAATGGGGAGTCAGTGGATCATCTTCTGTTGCATTGTCTTGTGGCTCATGATTGTTGGAGTATGATTTTTGGCTTGTTTGGTATTCATTGGGTCATGCCTCGGACCTCTCGGGAGTTGTTGGACATTTGGAGGGGCCAATGGGTGGGGGCTCAGGCGAGAGTTTTCTGGAGGGTGACCCCTTTTTGCATTTGGTGGAGCCTTTGGAAAGAGCGGAATGGAAGATCTTTTGATGGGAAGGAGTCCTCCATTGGGGTGCTGAAATTTTCTATTATTTGTACTCTTTTTTGTTGGGGTAGGGGGAGAGACTACTCTTCTCTTGAGGATACTGTTGACTTCATGGGCTCTTTGAGTTCATAGGTTCCGTTTTGTCTTTGTATAGCTTGGGACGCGTTCCCCTTTTGAACGCTTTTTAATACATTTTACTTATCAAAAAAAAAAAAAAAAATTGTAATTGGTCAATATAAACGGGGCGGGGTGACCTTTCCCCATCCCCACCCCATAACAATGCGGGTTATTCTAATCCCCATCCCTCTCCCAAAACCATTTATCCACCCACCCCATAACCGTTCTAAACGGGGCGGGGTATTATGCCATCCCTACTCTTGGTCTCGCCATCGTCCATCCCAACATTGAAAGCTTCATTTGTTTTTCTTAGTTTGATTTTTCATTGAAATGTCCGAGGTCTCTCTACAAGTAGACACACTCTTTCAATCATATCATTTGTTTTATGCCTTTATTGACCTTACATTCTTATGACAGTTTATCTTCATATTTTGTAACTGCTTGTGCTAAGGAATTGTCTTATTTGAACAACAGTCTTGCTTTAAAATATGATTTTAAAATTTCATTTATCAATATTGGTTATAATTTATTTCCTTCTGCGCTGTTGCATATATGGGATGGATAGGCGACATACACCTATACTGAAAGGTACAGCCCTTGTCATATATTGCTTCTATAATACACGGTCCTTGATCGAACTGGTTACAATGATCATGTGCATTCTCTTCAGTTTATCGTAGTTGTTCAAAATTTGTAGTTCATTTTTATGTATCTTGTTCATACTTTGGTCCTGGCAAGTTAAGGTGATATTTCTCTTTATAAATAGAGATGCAGCACTCTATGCTCTAGGTATTGGAGCATGTGCAAAAGATGCATTGGATGAAAATGACCTCAAATATGTTTACCACCCAGATGGGCAGCAATCTATTCAGGTACTACAGATTCACGCAGTTTGGTTTGCATGGAATTGTTTCATGTTTTTCGGAACATAAACATCAGTTATTAATAACCCAAGGTGCTGTAAGGATGTATCAAATATAAACCTAACATTTGATTATGTTACACGGATTCTTTTTAAATACATGTGATATTATTGTTGTCAGGGGCTTATTTGTTATTACTAATATAATGTTGGGACTTATGTGTAATTTCTAAAACTTGTTATTATAAATAGAATGTGGTGGAAGGATGAAAGTATTATTTCATTCTCTCTCTCTTTCCCCATCTCTCTCTCTTTTTCTCTTATCCGCTTTCTTCTCTTCTTTTCTTCTTCTTTATCACTTACTCTTGATTTGATTATATCTTAAAGTCAACAATTATGTCAAACACATTACATCTGAGTATGGGTATGGGGTATGTTGTCCGGTTGTCTGGTTCTATATGTTTCTTGTAATTAATTCCAATAATTCAAGTTTGCCATATCATTATACGTAAAACTTATGTATCAAGTTCCTTTGGTTACAATATTGCTTCAAAATGAGTGGAGTGCCCAAACTGTATGCTCTATGTTGTATAAATAATACCACTTCACCTTAAGAAACAAAAGAACTTCAAAAAATATGAATATAGTGAGAGTCTCCATGTCCCTGGTGGGTACTTGGTAATCTGGTACTTGGATACATACCTACACCAGACACATGTATCTAAGTCCGTATAATATAAATGTTGATTACACTATGTAGTAGCCTTCTTCTCGATCTCTATCTCTCTTCCTTCTCTTCAAAAGATAAAAGTGAGATTAGTAGGTTATATCACTTATATTTTCTGTTTTATTCTAGCTTATCAAAATCTTTGTAAGATCTGCTCAAGTCTCGTATTTGGTTTGAAGATTGTTGGTAGCTATCTTAAAATAGAATAGTTATAATTTTCACTTTATTTAATGGAATTTTTATGGATTTAATTTAAACTTGGACGTTCTTTTCAGTGGCCTGTTTTCTTCCTGTGGCATGTCAAGATTATTTTAGATTTCGAAAAGGGTGATGGTCTTGTGGCTTTGTAATTGATGGCATTGACTGCAAAATTAAGAAAGGTTTCATGTCAATTTCCTACTTTGTAGGTCCTGCCAACTTTTGCTGCTCTATTTTCTCATGGACTTGCGTCTCAAATTTCTCAGCTACCAGGGTTGCGGTATGTATTCATGTATCTTAAAAGGGGGTTGAGGTTCTTTTCCATCTTTGTACACACTGGTATTTGATAATTTACAAAAACTATGTTGTTAGCCTGTTAGGCCATAACCTCTCCTTTATATAAATCATCGATACATGCATTCGCCTTGGTAAATTGAAAACTAACTAAAATTTTGCTTTCTGTTGCTAGATTTGATCCACGTCTTTTATTGCACGGACAACAATACATAGAAATTTACAAGGCACTTCCTTCTAGTGGTTGTGTAAGCCTCCTAACCAGAAGCTCTTGATGAAGATAATGTGCCTAAATATTCTTTCTTGTTTGCTTATGTCCTGTATTTGATGTGAAACTGATTTTAAATTTGTATAATTTCAGCCCAACATTATATTACTTAAGTTGAGAGCTTCAGTCTTATTAATTACCTGTTTTTCTGAAAGATTAACGGCCTAAGACAATTAATGGTAGGCTAGCAGCTCATTTTAATGCAAATCGGAGATATTACCAAGGGAACCTATTATCTGTCACACTTTTACAGTAACATGATGATGTGGAAAGATTTATTCCTGTATAGTTGTTTTTATATGTTTTGATAAAAAAAAAACATCTTAGAATTTTGTATCTTTATGCGCAGTATAAAGATACTCTTATTTGCATAAGTGTCTATTTCTGCAATCTCTGTTGATGAGAATCTGGAACTAAACCAGATTTTTTGGGAGATAAGATCTCATTGAGTAGTAGCATTATAACACGCCGAATCATCCTTTCTTAATGCAAAGATAGAGGCTCTAGTACCTCCCTTGGGAGTGTAGTCAGTAGTAGTTCTTCTGTATTTTGAGATGCTTCATGAGTACCAAAGATTTACTCCAGCAGATTCTACCCCTATATGTCTAGCTTCTAGAACTCGAAACCTAAAACCAACTGGTCTTCTCATATATTTGCCCATGGAAAGATGATGGAAGTAGATAAAATAAAATAAGGAAGCTAGAGAAAAATAAAGCCACAACCAGAGTTACCAAATTATTTATGCCGTTCACCAGAATTAGTAAAAAGCTGGTAAGTGGTGATATAAATTTACAAAACTGATCCAATGTTTTGTAGCAAAGCTGAGAGTATCCACAATGAAGCTACTTAAATATAGTTAAATAGGAGATTGCTACATACCCGGCAATATAAACATCAATGTAGCTGCAATTGCAACTTTCCAACTTTGTTGTACTTAAGAGTCCTTTGCAATTCAATGTATGATTCTATTCTTCTTGTGTCACCACAACTCTAATTCTCACAATCTGGTCTTTTGAATCGTTATTGTTTCGTTATTATCACCATCTTCCTAGTGTAATCTAAATTATCCAATTATTGCCCAATTTGCCCCATTTTTCTATACCATCACAAACAGCAGCGATCTCATCCATTTCTCATCATGGGCTTATTTTTTCTACGATTCTCCCATATAGGGAGGAAAAAAAAAAAAATAGAAAAGAAAAAAAGAAGAAGCCCACGATGAGAAATGGATGAGATCAACTAGGGAAAAAAAAAAAGAAAAAGAGAGAAAGAAAAGGGTATGCACCAGAAAAAGATATTTGAGATGTTATTGTTCCATTGGGAGAGGGAAGAAAGGTATAATGGGCTTTTGTTTTGGAGGAATGAAAAAAGGTGATTATGTTATTTCATTTGCTCAGAAAAAGTGTTGTAGTGCCAGCCACTATATTTGAAGGGCAAATAGCATCACTCGTTTTTCTTTCTTTTTCCTGATATGAAGAGAAAATATATGCATGTTATTTATTTATTTTTTTATTCTATTTTAAATAAATTCACATCGTTTTAATTGAATAAAATACAGTGGTGACTTGTTAGTCATGCTATATTAGTATAATCATTAAATAGATATAAAATTTACATGTAGTCTATTGATGCAGTTCTCATATTTCATAGACATGAGGAAGGGAGTAGAGGTTATGTAAATACATTGACATTGTCGAGGAAATGTATGCCATACACAAACGTGTACATTTGGAGTTTGTTTCAAGTTATATAATTTTTTGCAGTTGAAATGATGATCCATAACTCATAAGTGAGCTAGTAAATATTGAATTTTTTGATATATGTTATTAAGAGGTTACATAGAAGTTCTTGGGATCTAAAGATTTTAAACCAAGTCAAACAAAGAACACACACAATTTTCCTTACCAAGAAATCAAATCAAGGTGAATAGTGTGCCGGATTGACAATCTGTCAACAACCTTGAATGCTAGGTATCTTAATAGCATCAGGAGTGGGAGACCACTTTGGCTCTCCTTTTGCAGGAAAATGGAGTGCCATGTTAGCAATTGTGCTGATGTGGCCATCCATTTTATTTGGATACTCAAAGTCCATGGTGTGGGCATCTCCACTTTGTGGGGCCCACATCATAACTTCCGCTATTATATCCACTTTTGCACATTGGCCCACCAGTTTGGACCCATATTATCCACCCCATTCTCCACATTTGGAGAATGGAGTGGATAATATGGTGTGGGCCTCACAAAGTGGAGATGCCCACACCAATCACTTATGCTCTCACTTGGAGAGATAGTATCCAAATGCTTTTGCACTCGTGATGCTCTAAGAGAATTATGCATACAAGGGGTAGAGATTGTTAAGCACATAAGAAATGATTATCCAAACAACATAGATATAGTTTGGGGAAGGATGGGTTATACTGATATATTCATAAGTCTTGATTTATAGATGCAACACATTCAGAAAATAGGAATAATGTAATGAATAAGGAAAAGGAAACCGATTGAGATGGTCTGAACTAAAGATACCAAAGAGGTTGTGGATGAAAAGATGTGAGGTTCAAATTTTGTCGCTAAATGGAGGGGTGGCGACTGAAATTAATGTGGTTGGTATTAGTGAGATTGGATTTGAAATCTGATCTTCCACTGGAAGATATAGCTTTTGACTTGCTAAATTGTGGAGTAGGATTGATGTTGCAAATTTCCAGGACATTTGAACTTGTGTTATTAATTATATATGATATATTACACAGCAGTGCCTGTAGAATAGCCAACAGTCACACGTGCTACGATTCATTGTTATTTCCTTTTTACTTATAAGATTGATCAACCATATCTATTATTATCTTTTCAAGATTTGTCAAGGTATAATTAATTATTTGCTCAATGTTTTTGATGCAGATACAAAACAAAGCATATATCTCTGGATTGCATGATAAAGGTTTGTATAAAGGAGAAACACTAGCAAATTAATATGTTATGATAATACTTCTATCTATTTATTGGAAGTCATTGGACCTTAAAAAAAAAAGGAGAGAAGGGAAAGAGGATGACAGGATTAGAATTTGACATTAGGAAAATTTCGTAACAAAAGGTGTAGTCTGATTATTTATCTTTAATTTTTGTTTGTTTATTAAAGTTAGTTTAGTTAGGTAGGTAGTGGTGGTACCTATGTCCAAAGACAATCAGAATATGAAGATACATCAAAGGGCAAAAAGGTAAATCACCTCTTGAATAATTAACTCACTAATTTGGATTCATAATCATGGATTCTCATTTGAGGGCAAAATGCGTACACGTTTTGATTCATGAAAAAATGTTTGGAATGCATGAAGTTGTTTTTGGATTAACATGATTTTGTTTTTGAAATAAATATATTTAAACAAGAAGGTTTTACAAAAACAGAATGGCCTGATCGATTTTGATCGATAGAAAGTTCCCAGACTAATAATATCGAGTCTAGAATAGCTCGATCGATCAATCAAAGTCTGAACAATAATTTTCGATCAATCGAATGGTACTAAATATTTTTATAAAAACTTCTCAAATCAGAATTCTAAAAGGCTTAGCATCTTAGGTTTCCTTTTCTGATTACATTTAAGAAACCCTAATTCTTTTGGGTTCTCTTAACACAGACATATAGCTACAGATATTGCTCTACACGTTGAGAGAGCATATATTTCTAGAGTAGGTGGTGAGATATTATTCAGGGTGTTGAATATTATAAATTTTAAAATAACATAGAGAATTCAATACACAATGAGCATGCAAGTTGGACGGCTAGCTGAAGAGATTAAAGTTCTTGTGGAGAAGCGGATCACAATCTGTTGACAGAGTGGACTGTACTTGGAGAATTAGTGGAGAGTTTGGTGGATTAGCCTGTGTCAGGAATTAACTAGGGGTTTCCTATGGTTTGGGAAACTGGTAACCTAGTTGTAAATTTGGAATATTTCTTTCTTGTAGTAGATTTGTGCCTGGATTAGGTCCCGTGGTTTTTCCCCTTGGGATTTATCACGTTAAAATTGTGCGTTCATGTATAACTTGGTTTGTTTTTTTCTGCTCTCTATGCTTTAATTGATTAATATTGTAAACTTGGAAATACTATTGTGATAATTTAAAAGTCAGATATTGTTAGTTAAAATAGACGAGATCTATTGACCCTCCTTTTAGATCTATTTTGGGCCTTGCGCATCTCTATATCAGGGTCTCTAGTTTCGGTCCTGCATTTGTCTGAGGAAAAGAAAAATTATAGTTTCTCTGGCTGGGAAAGAATAGTGGCTTTTCTAATTATTGCCTTAAGGAAAGTATGTCTTTTCTGTTTGTGGTAGGAAGAATGCACGCTTCCAAGACAAATTACTTGTACGAAACTTAATGATTTCCAATGAAGGGGATCTCTATGATGCATCAATTTGAAAGTTCAAATATTCTCCACAAAAGATATCAGGAAGATAGGACTTGATTATAAGTCGTATTCTTAATCTGTTTAAGGACAAAACACTTTATAAACATGATGTAGATGTTTTACCCACATGCAGGTAAAGCAACTGTTCTCGAGATTGAAATTGTAAGTTATGAGAAAGACTCTGATGAACCACTATGCATGAACCGGTAAGCTCTTTTTATATGACTGTCTCAAGCTGTTTTTATGCAAATTAACACAGCAATGAATTTACATTGCAGGATGTCTGTGTATTTGAGGGGTATTGGAGGCTTCTCAAAGTCGTCTCACCCATATTCATACACTAAGAATCCAATCAAACAGGTTTCATCTGTGAAAATTCCAAAAAGTCAACCCTTTGCAATATTTGAGGAATGTACCCAGCCATCTCAGGCACGTAGCTCACTTTTAATCTGAAAATGATATTATGAAATTGTTAATCTATCTCTGCCATATATACTGTGGTGTTATTATGCCCTGCATTTATATGGAATGAAGTAGGTTGTATATTTTTTCTGATATCTGAATTTATTCACAGATCCTAAACTTTATCCTTGCTTTATGCAGGCGTTGCTGTATAGGCTATCTGGTGATTATAACCCTTTGCATTCGGATCCTATGGTTGCGGAAATTGCAGGGTTGGTGCATCAGCCTGTCTTGAAACTGGATAATATCTAGCCTTGTTTTGATATTAGTATATATTACTTTCTATCTTATTGTTTGCAGCCAGCCTTGCTAATTAATTTTATGACCTGTTTAAAGTGATTTGTAGCTGAAGTACTTGTAGCATGTGTGTATGCATGTCTGCATATATGCGATGTGTGCAAAACTACTAAGAGTTACATTAGAGGCGCAGGCATGAAATTTAGAGTGGCAGGAATAGAGTTAGGGTTCATTTATTGCCATAATTAGAAAGAACAACAGAGAGAAAAAAGAAAGAAAATAAGAAAGAAAGAAAGAAAGAAATCCTTTTAACCCAGAATTACTGTGAAGATGATATTTTCCAATTCTGTTTTTGGCATCATTTGAAACAAAACTGCTTTTGTTTTCTGTGGGGATATGAAAGGAGTTCATTACCTATTTCATGTTGAGGTTCACTTAATAATTCAATGACATGGCATTATTTACTTTTCTTTTTGAATTTTAATTTCAAACTGTTGTTTTTGCATTTAAGATATGAAAAAGAATGATATTATTTTGTCTTCACTGGCAATCCAACCAACTCATGCTCTATTGTGCTTTATTTTGTTAAAGATTTTCTCGCCCAATACTGCACGGGTTGTGCACACTAGGCTTTGCAGTGAGGGCTATTATCAGATGTATATGCAGAGGGGACCAAAACATGATAAAAAGTATATCAGGCAGATTCCTGTTACATGTCTACCCTTGGGAAACGTTGATCACAGAGATGTGGCTTGAAGGTTTGAGGTAGAGTTTTTACTTTATTCTCACAATTTTTTGGTTTTTGTTTAGAGTCACCTCTGTGTCCCTAGTGGTAATAGTTAAAGCTTTTTATGTTTTAACGACAGATCAACCTTTGTGAGACCTATTTAAATGTTTAGAGGACCTAAAAGAAGTTGAATTGTGCAGGGTTATATATCAGGTACGGGTGAAAGAGCGGAACAAGGCAGTGCTTTCTGGCTTCGTAGATCTCAATCATATAACTTCATCGCTGTAAATTCTCATGCGGCATTTCAAATAAAAATAAAACTTCAAATCGTGTATGCCATTTGAAGAATTGTTCCTAGAGTTCTTAACAGAATAAATATATCTAGATAAGCTGTACTTTGGACCATCCCTTGTGATATTTCATGAATAATTCAGAGAGATCATATTTTGTTATTTTTATTTCTCTTTGGTGCAAGAAAATATCATCAGTTTGCAAGTAATTGCATATTCTGCAATTTTCTGTATTAAAATGTGCTGAGATTATATCGTCGAATGGTTTTCAGTCGTACCTGGATCTGTGTTGGTCTCCTTTTGAGCTTGTTCACCTCTCTTAGTCCAGGAGTTTTCAGCGAGAAAAGACAAGCCCTATGAGGGAGAGGAGGAAATCTCAAAAGAGCTTTTTCTTTCTGGTTCTTCAACATTCAATCCATTTGACATTTATAAAATGACTCTGTAGCCTCACGTATAGATTTTGTGAACAGGGCTTTGGTGATCAGAACACAAAAATAACAAAGCCTTTTCAAGAAAGGCATAGATACGAGTGGGTTTTTTATTTTTATCTTCCTCTCGCATGAAATTTACAACCATTTGTCCTTATGGTCACTATGCTACACCGTACTTCGTCACGGATGAGAGCGTGATTGTGAAGAAGGGAAACACGAGATACCTTTTCCTCTGCAATCCCTGCCCGGAAATGGCTTCTGTTATCTTCTTTCTCGGGCATTGGAAAAAAAAAAAAAGCTGAAGCTCATTCACTAAAACACAGTTTGGTTGGAAAGAAATGGAAGGAAAAGAAAAGAATGGAAATAGTGGAATATGATTTTTTTGTATTAGGTGTAATATTTTTGAAAGGAAAAGAAAGGGAATGGAAAGGATTTGGAGGAATATGTTAAAATTTGATGCCTTTTTATCCCTTCAAAAATTAAAGGAAATAAAAATATTTTTAATAAAATTTTATTAGTGCTAAATTTATTTTAGTTTTATAAAAGACAAACCTTCAAAAAGGTATCGAGTCAATTCGGTTTTTTTATTTTTATTTTTATTTTTTATTTTGAACTTCATTTAATCAAATTCGATAAAATGTTATCCTCTATTTTTTTTAATTTTTAATTTTTCCATTGTACCAAAGAACTCTTCCTTCCGTGAGGAGATCAAAACCACTCATTATTACTTTTTTTTAGTTAAAGAATAAGCTTGTATATATAGAGGAAATAATGTACATTGTGTCCCAAATAGGAAAGAAAGAAAAACTCTAGCAAAAGACATCTTTTACCAACGTGACAACCCCAACTACATCAACACATCAACTATGTACACTCATCAAAAATTACATACATCAATCATGGCAGCAGATGAGAGCCACACCAGCAATTGCATCCTTCAGCTATATATAATATGATTACCATCCCTCCCATTGTTTTGGGATAATAGCCAGGAATGTCCACAAGCTGTGGAACAACCCTGCTGGAAGAGAAGCTGCAGCTGTGACAGAGAGGAGATCTGCTTCAATTTTGAACTACTTCTAAGCTTAATTGTTACAAGTCTGGCTCTAACACAACTCTCCACCTGGGCTATAATGCTGTGGGATGAAGTTGACTGATTCCTAAATGCTCTTGCATTCCTTTCCATCCAAATAAAATATACCACTGCAGCCCATAACAGTTTGTGAACTAAAAATTTTGATGAACTCTAATGTGACGAGCACCACTAAAGCAATTCTGACCAGCAGTTTGGCATAATGTAAAATCCAGCGACCTCTTGGATAAACCTCCATATGTGGAAAGTGTACTCACATTTGAAAAAGAGATGGTCAATGGATTTCCAATCGAATTACAAAGATAACAGCTATTTGTATAGTGCTTGTAGATAACTAGTTTAGCACAGCTAGGCATAGGATAAGACTATGCTTTGGTACATGATGCTTGAACCACACTATTTTATGCTAAGGAAAAATTAGAGATGAAGGGTTGAAGTAGCTTAGGGTATGTGCCATTGTGAACACTTTGGTAGGACTAGGCAACCATTCAATGCAATCTAGATTAGATGATGGTGGGGGCAGTTCCTGGATTAGTGAAATGAAACTTCTTGATTGAAAGAATTGATGCAGCTATATTCAGCTTCGTTGGACCCATTGGTTATTAAAAATTAGGCTATCCACTAAGATGTTATCGAAGAATTTCCATACCAGTGAGTCCCAGCTTACTTGAGATGAAACTTTCATTTCTTTTATATATACAAAAAAAGTTAATGAAATAAATATGCAAATTAATTTCCATACAAGTGAGCTGGGACTCACTGGTATGGAAATTCTTCGATAACATCTTAGTTGATAGCCTAATTTTTAATAACCAATGGTTCAACGAAGCTGAATATAGCTGCACCAATTCTTTCAATCAAGAAGTTTCATTTCACTAATCCAGGATATATATATGTATTTTTTGAGATGTAACTTTCATTTCTTTTTCTTCCATTTCTATCCAATCAAATTAGGTCTAAATAATTTTTATTTTTTATTTTAAAAAAACTAGGTCTAAATAATGTATAATGGTCTTTTAAAAAACTACCCAATAATGGCAACTTGGCAAGGTAAGAAGCGAACTTGCAAAGCTATTTTCACTTGGTCAGTCAAAAGCTCGTTTGAGTGAACTGATCACTCGAGTTTGAGCTTCTGAACTGCCCCGCCCAACTCTTGGTATATGATGCTTGAACCACACTATTTTATGCCATGGAAAAATTAGAGATGAAGGGTTGAAGTAGCTTAGGGTATGTGCCATTGTGAACACTTCGGTAGGACTAGGCAACCATTCAATGCAATGCAATCTAGATTAGATGATGGTGGGGGCAGTTCCTGGATTAGTGAAATGAAACTTCTTGATTGAAAGAATTGGTGCAGTTATATTCAGCTTGGTTGGACCCATTGGTTATTAAAAATTAGGCTATCAACTAAGATGTTATAGAAGAATTTCCATACCGGTGAGTCCCAGTTCACTTGTATGGAAATTAATTTGCATATTTATTTCATTAACTTTTTTTGTGTATATATATATATATATATTTTTTTTTGAGATGTAACTTTCTTTTCTTTTTCTTCCATTTCTACCAATCAAATTAGGTCTAAATAATTTTTATTTTTTATTTTAAAAAAACTAGGTCTAAATAATGTATAATGGTCTTTTAAAAAACTACACAATAATGGCAACTTGGCAAGGTAAGAAGCGAACTTGCAAAGCTATTTTCACTTGGTCAGTCAAAAGCTCGTTTGAGTGAACTGATCACTCGAGTTTGAGCTTCTGAACTGCCCCGCCCAACTCTTGCGTTCTGCTAGAATCGCAGTTTCGAGATGGTGAGCGGGACCGACGCTCCTGCGGAGGTTATCAACGATCGGGACGAGGCGCACGTTATCTCCGCCGGCGACGACGTCGTCAAGCTTCTCACCGACGCCGTCCGTACTTTGCATCCGCAAGCGGTGAAGGACTTGCTGTCCTTGGAGGTTCGTTCTGTCCGCTAATATTTCTTAGGGTTGTGGTTTATTCGTTGATGATTAGCGTTTCTAGTTGTTTACCATTAAGTATCAAATGGCTTTGATATTCAATTAAATTACTAGTGAAAAATCGTAAGCGAATCAGGCGCTTTACTTGATTCGGTATGTGTGTTCTGTTTGTTTGCAGGGAAAATTATAAGGAAAATAAACAGAACTTGGAATATTTCAACTTCCACTCCGAATGTAATCCTGTTATTAATCATACGTTCCAAACCTTTTTCTAAGTCTTGTACTTGTCTTAGTTGTCTATATGTCTTCAGGATTAAAAGGTGTCTCCATTTTCCTTTAATCTTATTTATATATTTATTTCTTTATTTTTTTTTAATCTGTTTGTACCTTTTAAGTGCTTTTATTGATTTTGATTTGAAAACTTTATAAAAGAAAAAAGGAACAGAAATAAGAGATAATCTACAAAATAAATTTTTTTTTAAAAAAAAATAAAAAATAAATAAAACTTAAACATTGGCTTGCGTGAAAGAAAGAATGAATAAGAGCACATAGCCTAAACATCTTGCCATATAATGAATCATCTGAAGTTGTTTGTCTATAAATGCGGTGGAAGTCTACACTGATCAGATAGAATAATTTTAATACTCTAGTACATTCTTCTTGGCGAGAATGAAAGAATTCATCTATTGGGCATGTTCTAGGGTACTAGAGTTGCAAGATGGACTCATTTATACCATTTTTTTTTTTTTTTTGTCAGATAAATTATTTTCAATGATAGGGAGAAAAATAGCCATAGTTAGTCAGACAGTTGTGTGAAGAAAATGAGTGCTGATTTCATTCTTCCATAAAGCTTTATCTAACTTAATAGTCTTGATGATGGTTTGTGGAGTTCTTAAATTTTTTTCATGATGCAGGTATGCATTCGCTGCATCTTCCGACTTTTTGGTGTTCGTGAATGTATTTACAATTGCACCTTGCTCTCACCATCAATCTTGTATTCTATTCTTGGGAAAGCATTGGATTTAGAGGGAGATTTGGTAGATAATAGTTCTAGAGCAAATGAAGATCCGAGCAAGCAACATTCTACTAAAGAATTGGAAATCGAGCCAAACTTCTGTAGAATATGTTTAGGTATCTTGCAGTTTGTTTATCATGATGACAAGAATATGTTGGTGAGGAGGGATAGTGCCCATGACTTTGCTGTAATAATTGCGGAAGTAGTAAAGCAAGGAGGCCATCAGATTGATAACTTTTCTCTTGAAGTCTCCGTCCCACCTAGTATAATAGAAAATGAACAAGCAGTTAGGTGAGTTGCATTCTGCTGATAAATGATCTCTTTTTTTTAAATTGATGTAAGTAGACGTGTCAAGTTTTTTGAATTTTGGACAAATATGGCAATATTCTCACGTTAGTGATTTCCTTAAACATATGTTAGAATTTGACTTGCCTGGTTACCTTGACAAATTGGGGCTTAAACTTCACATCTCTGGTCATTGTTTAATCTTCATCATTTTAGGGAATAATACCATCTTAATTTTGACTTTTTTTTATCTGTTATTGGTGTTCTATGCCTCTCTGCATGCGGAGGTAAAGTTGCGTACATTTGACCCCCCAACTATGTTACGTGGACTCTTCAAAAGTAGTGAAGTATCCGTGTCAGACACCTATCCGTGTCAACCAAAAGTATGGGATACGTGTCCGACACTTTTGGTTGAACAGGTACTTAAAAAAACATATCCAATCATTTAATTATATTATATTATTACTTTAAAATGAGTTAAATGCCTATATTGATCATTTTATAAGATAAAAACATTACTTTACTCTAAAAAATAAAATAAAATAATTAATAAAATGAATATTTAGCAGTGTCCGTGTGTCCTTATGTTTGGAGATTTGACACGTCTGACACGTGGATACATACCAGTGTTCGACACACGTACCCAAGTCCATGTAACATAGCCCCCCACCCACCAAAACCCTGTAATGGCAGGAGCCTCATGCACCGGGTTTGCCCTTTATTGTTGTTCTATTATTACTGATCTTTACTTTTTCCTTCTTTCAGTCCGTTCTCATCATGTATATAAATTGTATCATAGCATAACTGGTGAAACACTTAATATTCTCTCTCTTTTTTTTTTTTTTTTTTTTTTTTCAGGCTGTATATGCAAAGGAAGTACAATTCAGAAGTTTGGTTCCGAGAAAAGTTTATATCAGAATGCGTTCCTGCAAAGGAGTTCTTAAAATTGTCTATAGCTACTCCACTTGAAACGTTATTGGTAATTTGAAATTACTTCTTTGTTTGTTTTTTTTTATTTGGTTTGTTTATTTTTTCTAATGTTCAAAATTTCAAATCTTGAAACTCTTTTGAAAATAATTCTAAAATATGTACTTCAAATTGCAATGAGTTTATGTATGAGTGGAAGATAAAACGCATGATAGCCGACATTATGATTTCTCCATTTTAGGGTTTTGGAACAAAAGAAAAGAGGAATGTTTTTAATCAAGTACTGCTATAATTGCTATTTCATATGTTTCAAAAAATAAATAAAATAGCTGGGAATTTCTGAAATCCTCTTCCATTCAATTGATTTTTTCATAAAATTTGAATTTCGCAGGGTGCTCAATGTGGTCTAAGCTCTTTTCGGATCCGTTTGACATTCGGCCACTCTGAAGCATCAATAAAGGTTCCAGATTTTGTAGAGAAAAAAGAATGCAACAAGAGAAGGAAAACAGGTATTTTCAATTTGTTTATGTCAACCACATGCATTGCATTTCTTGTAAGAGTTCATAATTGCTAGTATATATTTTTCACTTCATTTTGTAATATATATTACCAATGTCTTGAACTTCTTGGACATGAATACCTGTAATCGATGAACCAACTCCAATAGATCATTTGTATTAAATTCTTAATAAGGACATAGGAAAAGTATAAATAAATAAAGGCGGGGTTGGGGGGGTTGGTGGGGTGTTAATTTTCTCTTACATAATTGGCAGGTCAATTTCCCATGGAAGGACCATATGGAAAAAAAATTATTTATCAAGAAGCACATGTCTTGTAAATATCCTCTTGGAACATATAGTTCTGTGGTAATTCACAACAAGATCACATTCTGAAGAGAAGAATAATTATTTGACATTCTATCCTGATAATTTATTTTTTGGTTACACAGTTGAAGTAGTCCTGCAAGTGATACTGTCCAGAAAACTGGTCACAGGCATACATCTTAAGATATATACCAAGAAATCATGAATTTCCTCCAGATTATTTCATATTTGCTTTAATGGCTTCTTGAAATTTGGATGCTCAGCTGAAAATTAATAAATGTAACAGGTGCCAGTGATGACTTGGGCACTGCTGGCATAGAGTGTTCTTATATATCTGCAAATGAAAATCATGTCACCAAAAGGTCTCTTAATGGGGTGCAAGATCATGACTTTCCTGATTGTCTTAAACTCCAGTTGGAGAAGGTGTGTGACTTTTGACACCAATGCACCATGAATTTTTGCAGTTAATTTGTTGTTTCAGTATCATGCTTCAACCTCACAGTTTGTGTTGTATCAGTAAACTGGTGCTTATTAATTTGATTTGATATTGCTTCTTTATTTGATGTGTGTTCTCTCTCCTTTTTAGGTCAATGAACCTTGCCACTTGACATTACTTTGCTGTAGGGCCCCTATCTACATTGGTGGAAGATACCTGAAGGTAAGCCAAGTGCCATTCACTTGAGTGAATTGATTTTTGGGATTTCAACATAGCTCTGGACCCTCCTTCTCTATTGGACTTCACTGAGTATGAGATAAGGCTGTACAGAGTTTGGAACTCTAAAATAGAATGAATTTTCTTTGACGAATGAAGTTGATGGATAAGAGTAACATAAATGTTACCAAGTGTTTTTGAGTGCTTAGTCTTAAATTTCAACCATGATCTTAAGCTTGAGAGCTTCACAGTTGTGCCAAGCACTAACCCTTTTTTTTTAAAAAAAATCAAATACTCTATACGATTCTTCTCCTCCTCCTCCTACTTTGGAGGGAATGAATTAAACTAAAAGCCCAAAATGTCGAAAGAGGGTCCTCTTTGTTCATTGTAGTAAAATGGAGACTTAAAACTCACATATCCCGATGCATGCATCTGGTCAGTAAATGCATGAAGTAGGAAACTCTCTTCCATTAAATTCAAGTTGATTCATTAATCGATAAGGCTTGTTAAGCAAAGAATCTGTATCAAGACATTCCATCTATTCAAGCCATTTGCGTACATCTAACTGTTATGTGTTTCCACTAGTTAGGGGAAGTGTCCAAACAACACCTTTTTGTTTTCTGTTGCACAAAGTTTCCTCTGTTCGTATTATTAAACCCCCATTTTTTGTGACATAATTTTATTAACTTTCTCATTTTTTTTATGAAAGGAAAAATCTATTTTTGCCGACTCCACCTACCATGGTTGGTGGGCCTCACGAGGCGGTTGGGTCTAGTCGGCTGAGCCAGGGGTCGGCAAAAATAGCAGAGCTCTTTGTGAAACATATATAACAAGGCAAGAACAATTTTGGTAGTGAGTTTGTTGGACTATGTGGTTGTATTACTATCGTTATGCAACTTGCAATTCATTTTATTACTATCTACGATGCAGTATTCAAGAAATGTGAGTCAGACTCGTTGGATTATTGATGATGAAAGAATGGGCGAAGCATCTGTTGAGGTACTCCCTAATTCTTCAGCTAATGTTAATTGTCATTCTACCATGGTTTTGTTGTCAAACTATTATTGAAAAAGCTAACAGTCTAAAGTGCTTACTCTTTAGGAGATAATAGGTAGCAGCATCCTTCCTATGTGTCAGGGTGATAATTACAAGTTTCATGCGGCCGGTAGAGAGGACATCGATGTACTAAAATCTGATTTTCTGAATACAAATTTGTTTTGGATGAATCCTATACTGATTTTGAATTTGCTTTTCACAGGTCCGGATGTTGGGTTCCGGTCGGCCTTTCCTGGTTGAGATACAGAATGCACGCCATGTCCCTTCCGAGGTGGTCATAAAAGAAACGGAAGGGAAAATGAATATGCTGGAAAATAAATTAGTGAGTTCAAATTTCAAATTCGAGTGTTTTTATTTTTGCAACATCAATATTTTAGCTGTTCTTACATTATGTGCTCAGGTTAAAGTAAAAAATCTGAGGATGTTAGGTAACGAGGGGTGGACTATGATGCGTGAAGGAGAAGCAGAGAAGCAGGTTGAATTTGGCTTTGTGGTTAAATTTGGCATCATGGTTTACAGTTTAAGATATATCTGCAAGGCTTATATTTCCACCCCATGTATTTCATATAGAAACAATATACTGCGCTAGTGTGGATTTCTCGGCCACTCAAGGATGATGACTTGCAAAGGATAGCTTCACTGAAGGAAATGGTGAGTTGTTATGCAGGCTTTTCTTTTTATTTTCATATGTTCTTTTTTATTTTCAAACTTTAGTTTTGCTTGTGGATTCCAGGCTTCCAGCACCACCTCTATTCTGATGATTCCATAATTTGTTGCTCAAGATCGTTTTTTGATGAACTTCATCACTCTTTTATAAAGTAAAAATAATCCAACCTTACTGTACTTTTCATGTGAAAAGCATCACGCGTTTATTAAATGCATAATGATAGCCTTTGGTGTAAAAATAGAATTGTGGAGTGGTGTTTGTTTTTCCCATAAACCTTTGGTGTGTATACTTCTGGTAGTCATAGAATTTGTAGTTACATTACATGAGCTCTTCAAAAATGTGTGATGTACACGTGTTGGACACACGAGACTTGGTCATGGGTGTGGCAAATGTGTCCAACATGTATGTTTGGACAATGCACTTAATAAGATTATCGAATAATTCAAATTTATTACATAATCATTTGCTTGTTTTCATATGCAAAAAACACTTTCCATCATTTGCTTGTTTTGTTTTCTTGCAGCAAATTTTGCAGAGAACACCAATAAGGGTTCTTCATCGTCGAAGTCCATTAGAGCGGCAAAAGGTTATACATTGGTAAGAGCCCATTTCCAATTAAGTAGTATACCACTGTCTTAGTTCACGATTCTGTGTTATGAAAGCCTAATCAGACTTGCTCTGTTTTCAGGATGAAAATTGAGAGAATTACTGAAAGTTCACAATATTTTCTCTTGCATCTATGTACCCAGGTTCACTATCAAACTTTCACATGTATTTGATCTAATTTGGTGCTATTAACTGATACATGAGGAGGAATGTATATATACTAAAATCTATATATGTACATGTAACATATATAAATACGTGATTGTGTGTATATTCCTAAAACTGTTACCAAACCAAATTAAGAACCTGACACAAGCAAACTAAGAGGCTGCTTCACACACACACACACACACACACACGGAGGGAGGGAGAGAGGATGGGACGCTGGCTGAGAGGAAAGGAACAAAGACTCAGCATAAGACGTGAGGAGAAAATAAAGAATTTTTGGGAGGGTGTAATAGTGATTCTAGTCCTCTCCATTTGGTAAATAAATAGAGAATAAAAATGTCAATCAAATGAATTAATTTAATATCATTTATCTGACAAACTCTAACAGGGGTGTCGGATTGATATGAACAAAGTCTAATCTGTGTGTGCAAAGGTCAAACATCATGGGAGGTCAGGATAATTTACCCTAAAAGAATGTTCATTGCATGCTTGATTAGTAGTGACCATGTGTAGAATTTCAATATTTTATAAAAAGAAATATAAACCATTTCGAAGTTATATTTATCTTGTTTCAAGAAGTGTCGAACATGACCCATGTTAAGATGTATTTGTTGTATAGGTCATGTCCTGGAAGAAATCAATTAAGATGATGTTAGGAAGTGATATGGTTCACATAGGATGATGATGGGAAAAGGGGAGATCAAAACTAATATGATTGAGATAATATAGAAAGATATGATAACATGTCATTGACTTAGGTTATGACCTAATATCAAACGGAATGGTAAAATATAATTATATATCTGACTCTAAATAGTTGGGGAGAAACTCTCTTGAGTTGAGTTGAGAAGTCGTGTGTTGAAAAATGATTAAAATGTGTTGGTCAAGCATTTGAAATAGCACAATTTATTTAAAATTACAGACATGCCAACAGGTGTTGTCATATGTCTAAAAATGTCCTTGAAGTTATGGCTGGTTTGAAGGATATACCACAGTTTCGTATAAAGTTTCACCTGTGTATGTCTGCAAGTCTTAGGTAAAAAGTATTTCTTCTTAGGTGACAAGTATTAATTGGTCAGACGGCGAGAATCGGCCCATCCTGACCACTTTATGAATTTCATGGATAATAGTTTATGTATTACGGCACACTGAATGCTAATGATTGTATTTGAAACACAGGCTGGAACTTATATCAAGGAATTTGTCCACGGAGATTTCGGGCGGACCCATCCTAGGTATGAGACATTTTTCAACTATTCTAATTCATTTTGTAGGGTCAGATTTCTTCCTTGATTTCATGACATATTTCCTTTAGTTATTACTGTTATTATAATTAATATTTTATTTATTGATTTATTTTAAGAAGTAGACAATTGTCTAAAGATCTCTAGTGCTTCAATGTACACTGGTTTATACAAGGACAATTTTATATTTTTTTTATTCCTGAATTCGGCTATACAAGGACAATTCCATAGGCATGATGCTTAGTATCTAGTGGGTGGTATCTCCTCTATTTTTCGAAGTAGACGGTAAGTGAACTGGACCTATGGCAATAAAATGAAACTGCATGTCATAGGAATCTGTGATAATTGTTGTCACGCATAAAAAATAACCTGACACCTTGAATAAGTCGCTGTGTACCATTTAATCTCAGTTCAGTGATATGAACCAAATAAGAGTAGTATGCTGCTTTTGCCATTGCTCAAGCGGTAGTCCCATCATTGAAGGATGCTGTAAGAGTTGGAGACGATAGAAAATTAACCTTTGGCATGATCCTGCACATTGTGAATCACTTATTACATTATTCTTTTACGAATTTAATATTCTGTTGCGTTGCAGCATTGGCTCAATTCTTGGATGCAGGGCAGAGATATCGCAACTTGATGTCACGGACGTGAAAATGGACTGCTTCCTTGGTTGATACGGCTGTCGAGTATTCTAAATAGATGCTTTTACTTTGAGATTGTAAGTACTTTCTACTTGCATTTTCCTAGTATCAGGTTGTCAATTAGCAGAAAGAAAAGCGGAAAAACATTTTTTATTTTTTATTTAAAAAAGGAGGGTTTTGTACGACCTTCTGTTCGAATTTAATTTTTATTTTATATCTTTCTCTGTCCATTTCAGCATCTTAGGTTGTAGTCTAGCTATGTTATTTGTCAGGACTATATATATGAGATAATTAATAAGTGAGAAATTATTCTTTTGGTAAATGAGAAATTATTCTTTTGGTAAATGAGAAATTATTCGATACATGTAATATTATCCAAATAGTCATTAGAAAGTTAGAAAATGATTTTTCTCAATTTACCAATTTGATATCGTTAAATCATCATCATACTTTGCCTCTTGTTTTTGTCCAAACTACGGGCTGGTGTCTTTTGTCAAATTAATGGGTTGGTGCCTCTTTCTCTATTCTATTCTATTACATAATATGTCTCTTGTAATGTTTAATGTTGTAAAGTTATTTTTAATTATTCATTCCATGTTAATTTTGGCCATCCTTGTTATCTCTTGCTTTCTATACAAATTATTCTTTCCTTTCTAAAACGGATGTACATTCTATGTTCATGCCATTTAAGTTTTATTTCTATGATCCCCTCATACTTTGTGCAAGTATTAAAAATAAATAATGATAAATTAAGTATTTATATAATAAATAATGATTATTTTATCACTAATAAACATTTTTATAGCCAGTCCCATCAAGTTCATCCTTATCCAATCTAAACTAATAATATCATCATTTTATTTTTCTATTTTCTTGTATTACTAATTGTAAGTATGAAAATGATGATTTATAGTGACCCTATGATTTTCTACTGCTATTATTATAATATTATTTTTTTATTCTTTATTAAATTTACAATCCACATATTTGAACTCTACGAAGATGCTCTTAAAACGGGCCGCATTTATGGTCCCCCTCTTATGTCTAATTTATGATATTTTTGGCACTCGAACTGATGCAAGTAAATAAGTGAATGGAATCAATTTTTGCACAGTTAGAGAAGATATTGAAAAAAGCAATTGGTCATAAAATTGATTTGAGTGGACAATACCAATGACCATGCGATCCTGTCAAAACTAGAGACTGCTGGCTTCAATGTGCTCGAGTTCTCTTGTTATATAATAATTATAATAATAGTGAGTGATAGGCCAAAAAGTAAAAAGAGAACCCATTGGAATATAAAGAAGAGAGGAATTGTAGACGATGCGTAGAGCTGTTGTTTGAATGCCCTCCAATTCAAGTAATTTGGAAATTCAGCCAAACTTAGATTGAAATTTCCTAAAATTGGTCACTCCAGCATTCAAAGATGGTGTTGGCTTCAAGAATTGTGAAAAGATGCTCAACATAATCTCAGATCTATTGTCCTTTTATCTATTGGCAAATTTGGAAAGGGGGGAACATTTAGAAATTCAATGGGGTTACTTGGTATCCTGTCCAAGTTTTATTTATTTATTTTTTGCACAAGTTTTGGGAAGAAATTGTAGTTCCTATGGTTGAGGTTAAGGATATTGTTCCTTTTCAGTTGATGGATTTGAACACCTGTCACCATGGATGCTCCCATATCGGTCGAACAAACGACGGCATGGTGCTGAGAGATCCCGCAGGTGCTGAGAAATCATGCAGGTTAGCCTATAACAACATTGTGCAATTATATCCGGCTCATCCATTGTCCATGAACGTGCTCAAGGATATTTAGCACTTGCTTAGTAGCAAATGGGAGTTTTCGTTTGAACCGGTGGTGTTCAAGAAAATGTAATAGGGTTGCCCATTTTGATTAGTAACTGGGTTGGGCTTTGAAAAAGAAAACCACACTACCCTATGGTGGGATCTTTGGCCATCTCAAGTAATTTTTAAAGAAAAATAATAGGTTTTCTGACGTTAATTATTGACTCTTCTTCTGAATATAACGTAGTTGGATCCTATTAAAACTCTTAAAACGTCTCTTTCTCTTCAACTCATTCCCAACCACGTTATATTCGAAAGAATAGTCGAAAATTAAAGTTTATCACTTCTCATTTTTAATTACTTTGCTTCTTTTAATAAACATGCTTTGAGGTAAAATAAAAAAATTAAATTAAAATTTATAATTACTTTATTTTAAATAACAATAACAATAATGACAATGATAGAAAAAAGGCTACATTCGGTACCATCAATTATAAAGTCATGCGAGTCTCATCGCGGGCATATCCAGGCACATACCAAATTCAGGACCAGTGGGCGGATGCCCTCACTAAATTTTTTCTAATTTACATTATTACTTATAATTTTAATTAAATTTTTAAAAATGTCCCAACTCAATTTTTTAAAATCTCCCTTCACATTTTTATTTCACTAATTTCTCCACTGGATTTTTTGAAATTTATATTATTACCTAAAGTTTTAGCTAAAATTAAAAAACTACCCCCACTCAACTTTTAGAATGGCCCACTTCACAAAAAAAAAAAAAAAAAAAATTCAAATTTGTCTACAATTTCTTTTTTATTCTTCGACGATGCCCCCTCTAAAAAATTCCTGGGTCCGTCACTGGACATAGCATGATTCTCCGCTAGCCTTCTTGGTGACTATCTACTTCTATGCATCAACATGATCTAATTGATCCAGGACGCGCCCACCATCTTAGCCATGAAACTATACCGGTCTGCAGCTCCATCGATCTGCATTGAATGAATCAAAAGATAAATTATTTTTATTCCTAAAATAAATAAATTCACTCACACGCAAGCTCGACCTTCAACCTCCTCTCTGAGAAGGTGAAACAATGCTTACTTGAGTCGAGGTTTTGTGGTGTCAAATGCAAACAATAATGAAAACATAAATGAGATGGTATCAAAATCTAGTAGAATAGAACACTTGCCTTTTTCTTAGTCGACATTCCTTCACCATGTCCAGCTTTACATTCAATGCGAGCAATTATTGGATTAGTTTGGGGGCTTTTCTCCAAGCTTGTGCATAGAACATATTGCAATGTCTGGAAAATTGGAAAGAAATAGGATTATAACAAAACAAAATGAAGTTAGCAATTGTACTTGACATGCATACATAAAAACCAAAATATAAAATAAGATACCACACAGTAGATTGTGAACCAGTGAGCTAGTACGTCAATATGAATTTCACAAAAGCTCTTTCCATCTAACTCCCAATCAAGATTTCAAAATAAAGGATCCTATACAACTTCTATCAAGAACCAAAGATTTTTCTAAAATTTGATGGACTAAGAGGAATCAAACTCGTGATACCATTCAGCATCCTCTTTTTTCCCATCTAGCAAAACCTGATAACGTTATACCATACGATAATTTCGTACCTCTTTCTAGCCTAAGTTCCAAATAAACAAAAAATGGGTGACACCTTAGTCCACTAATTACATTTTGTAAGATTTTTTTGTTTTTTTTTTTTCAGCAAGAAATCAGACTACTCCTATCTTCCAATATTAGACATATGAAATCAAACAATACATGAGAAGCTAAACACCTAATTTCCAATAATTTATTGGGGAAAACAAAAACTTAATTTCCAATCACAGAAAACCCACCGCTAAAAACTTCAGTGAGTGTGATGGCACAACACGATCATCGTGATCAGCAGTCAATAACATGATGGGTGGGTACTGAGAAGGCTTATCAGGAGATTTTTCCCATGGCCTACTGACATTATGTAGTGGCGAGTACCTGAAAGAACAGTTGAAAAAAAAAAAAAAAAAAATTCAAGAATGAAGAACAGCCTACCAAGATAGAAAGAAAGAAGATAACATCAGAGTATATAATCCCAATCAAATATATTTAGAATACCCCTTCGCTCAACACACAATCCCCATAAAATTGGTGGTTGGGATTGCAGGATCAGTCGGAATCTAGAATTATACAGTTTATGTTACAAAAAAATTGAAGCATCAAGATACCGTAAAGAACATAATATAACTCACTTGACTAGCCAATGGAACTCCTCCTCCTTATCTGAACAGCCATAGTCACATGCCCACATACGACCTAGAAGGACAAGCCTAAATCAGAAATAGGTAAAAATAATTATACCAAGTGAACCTAAGAACATACTTACCAAGAATATATTTAAAAAGAAAAACAAGAACATAGGCAAACCTATAGTGAACTTGTGGAATCTAAGCATGTCAAAACAACCAACTTCAGCAAGTGCACAGCCAAAAAGATCCGGTCTCTGAAACCACAGAATTTAGCAATTGAGTGCATAAACACAAAACAATAAAAATGACGGATGAAATAAAAAATGTGACCAGGAATTAACCAACAATGCCATACTTGATTGATGCAAGCCCCAACAAGAAGCCCGCCGTTGCTTCCACCTTCAATACACAACTTTCTGGGCTGGGTATAACCAGCAGAGACAAGATATTCAGCAGCAGAAATGAAGTCATCAAAGCCATTCTGTTTTTTTGCGAGGATACCAGCTTTATGCCATTCTTCTCCATACTCTCCACCACCACGAATGTTTGCAATGCAGAAAATACCACCTAAATGCCTTGCAAGTACAATACGATCAATGTCGAATGATGATGTAATATTGACGTTAAATCCACCATATCCATATAACAAGCACAGGTGTGATCCATCCAGAAGAATGTTTTTTCTACTCACTATAAACATAGGTATTCGAGTACCATCCTTACTATGAAAAAATACCTGGAAATGAAAAAAATCAATAAAAAGATATATAAGAAGACAGACATAGGACACAAGCTTTGGCAAGCTCAAAGACGCCCTTCCCCAAAGTTCCAAACAATCATACAAAGTATTTCAATAGTGGGTGTAAAGAAACAACTTTTCTTCCTCAGTGAATAGGATAACAGAGAACATAGGGAAATTCTATGAAAAAAGACAAGACCAATGGCAGAATTTGCCGACATATAAAGGAAAAAAACAAAGTAAAGCAATAGTACACTGCAGCAGTACAACAAAAAATAAAAAATAAAAAACTATTTAGGGTGTTTTACCATAAAACAAATCAATAGATGTCTCTACTGTCCGATTGAAACCTTCAAGGGTTAACTCCCAACCTGGATCATATCATTCCAGTAAATTATTATGAAATGCTACACTTTTTTGTGTGTGAACATCTTCTTTTCTTTTGTTTTAATTTATTTTCTTTACTTTTGTATAAATATTTTTCTATAAGAAACCAAGTGGGTAGGTACATAAGACAGAAAAATTGAAGGATATAAACTATATTACACTGGAAAGGACATACATAGAAATGGAGTAGGGACGGGATAATTACTGATAAGAATTTACAAGAAGATGTGGCAACCATTATTAGAAAAGAATATAGAATAATATTAGTAAAACTCGTATCAGGAGTAAATATAGTTGGAGGACTAATAATTTTGGTAACATATGGACGAATTAAAGCAAGGGATGCCTGAAGGAGAAAAAGTGGGAGTATATTAGATAGTACATGCTGAACATGGATTTGGAGATAGAAATTATGCGGACATCTTATATTTTGCGGTAGCATATAATCTTACAATTAGGAATATCTATTTTAAAGAAAGGGATTAACACTTAATAACCTTCAAAAGTGGACCAAATATGAGTCAAATCGATTTCTTTTTAACTAGAAAAGATTGTAAGGTTATCCCTGAAGAGAGTTCAACATCACAACATAGGCTTCTTGTTTTAGATTTATATATAAAAGCACAACCTAAGAGGAGACAGAGAATTATAAACCCAAGGACTAGGTGGTGAAATTTAAGAGGGGAGAAAGTAGATTTATTATTATTACTATTAATAAAAAAATAAATAAAAAGATTTTACAAGAAGCAATATGGACTGTAGAAGATGAAACAAACTTAATGTGGAATAAAATGACTTCATTTATTAAAAGAGTAGCAAAAGAAGTCCCAGGGGAATCAAAAGGAACGAGACCATTATTATTTAAGGAAACTTGGTGGTGGAATGAACAAGTTCAAAAGTTGTAAAAACCAAATGGGAATGCTATAAAGTTTGACAAGAAAACTAAAAATAGTGGAACCTTTGAAAGGAAAAAAAAAAAGAAAAAAACGGTAACTAAGAAAGTTAAAAAAGTAGCAAGTGAAGCAAAACATTAAGTATATGAAAATTTCTATTCTAAATTAGACACAAAAGAAAGGGAGAAGAATATATATAAACTTGAGAAACTAAGGGAGAGGAAAACTATAGATTTTAGCCATATTAAATGCATTTAGAGTGAAGATTCACGGGGTTTAGTGAAAAACAATGAAATTAAAGATGGATGGAAAAATATTTTAGAGAAATTGCCAGATCAAAATTATAAAGGACCCTTAGGCTTTAGATGAATATAGTGACCTTTGAGATAAGGTATTTTTCCGTAGGGTCAAGGAGTGGGAGGTTAGAAACGCCTGCACGAAGATGAAATCTGGAAGGGCTTTAGGACCCGATGACAATCCTATTGAGGTTTGGAAGTGTCGAGAAGTTGGTTATTCTTAGTTAGCAAAATTGTTTAATAATATATTAAAAAAACTAAGAGGATGCCTGATGAGTGGCACAAAAGTGTCATAATGCCTATATATAAAAATAAAGGTGACACACAAAGTTGTAATAATTATCATGGTATTAAATTAATGGATCACACTATGAAAAATAAAGGTGACATTGATCAAGGCTGCCCCCTATCTCCTATGTTGTTCACTTTGATCACAGAATTGTTCTCAACTTTGGTAGCAGATGCAGTTCAAAGAAAAGAATTAGTAGTGTTGAAATCTATGGCAAAGTATCAACAGCCTATCAGTCATATATTTTTTGCAGATGATCTTATATTGGCTTGTGAGGCTTCAACTCATAACTCAACTATTCTGGAGGACATTTTCAGGAGATTTGAATCTGTTACAGGGCTTCAAATTAACCATGGAAAGAGCAGGGTGTTATTTTCCAGAGCTGTGAGAAGAAGACATGTGTTGCTACAGGTTCTGAAATGTACTGAAGATGACTTCCCCATTAAATACCTAGGGTTACCTTTGTGCCCTGCTGGGTTAAAGAGGGTTCAGTGTGAGGATCCGTTGGATAAAATTACAAATAAAATTGTATGCTGGAACACAAAGCTGCTTTCTCTATCAGGTAGATTGGAGCTCTTAAGGGCTGTTATTACTCCTATTTTCCAATATTCGTGCTGTATCTATGATATTCCTATGGCTATTATTAATCAAATTCAGAAGAAATGTCGTGACTTTCTTTGGGGAAGTACTGAAACTACAAAGAAGATCCATATGCTTAATTGGAAGAAGGTTACCACTCCAAAAGCTGAAGGAGGTTTGGGGCTGTGGAAGCTGTCAGATGTTCAGGTTGCTGCTAGATGTGTGTTAGTTTGGGACTATTTAAACAGTAAAGACAAATTATGGATTTCTTGGTTTCAATTCAGATATGCTAAAGGTACAAACTATTGGACTGTGGTTGTTAAGCAAACAAGTTCCACTATATGGAAATCAATGGTATCTGTTAGAGAGTTGGTGCAGCAGAATATTACTTTTCAGATTGGGAATGGCTGCCAAACTAGTCTGTTCAAGGATCCGTGGTGTAGTGGGCAACTTTTCAGTGCTGTGTTTGGTCACAGCACTGTTAGAAGCTTACATTTTCACAGGGATGTCAAACTTAATTCCTTAATATTGAATGGAGCTTGGAATTTTCATATTTTGCAAGGTGAGAATTTTGCAGCACTGAAGTTTCTGCAGAATACGAGCATTAAAGATGGAGAGGATAATGTGCAGTGGAATGAAGGGAAATTTAGCTTCAAAACTGCTTGGAATAGTGCCAGGATTACTGATTTAGAAGTGCCTTGGTTCAAATTATGTTGGGGCAAAACAAGGCCCAGGTGGTCCACAATTGCTATTATGGTGTTATGGGATAAATTGCCTACTTTGTGTAATCTGCAGAGAAGAAATATATGCCTGGTTCCTAGATGTGATCTCTGTCAGCATAGCATCAATTTTACTGATCATTTGTTTGTTCTTTGTCCTTTCTCTCAAGGAGTTTGGAAATGGTTGGGTGAGGTTTTGGGTTGGGATTTAAATAAATTCCAGGAGGTTTTAACAGTGTGGGATCTATTCCTTTGGATGGATAAGCTGTATCAAAATTCTAAGCAACTTCAAAGTCTTTTTGCTGCTGTTTTATGGTATATTTGGAAGGAAAGAAATAGCAGGCTTCATGGCTCAACTAATCTTCCAATTGAAGTAGTGGCTGCGGAGGATTAATTTTACTGATGTTATATTGTAATCCTTTTGTTGAGGTCGTATTTTTGTATTGGAAATGGGCTTTTTCATTAAAGCACATGTTCCTGGTTTTTTATATTTGTCAATTCTCTGAGGGTATGCCCTCTGTACTCCTGTAATCATGTTGATTTTTTGAGCAATACACAACCCCAATTATGAAAAAAATAAAAAATAAAGGAGACATACAAAGTTGTAATAATTATCATGGTATTAAATTAATGGATCACATTATGAAACTTTGGGAGAGAGTGATTGAACAGCGCCTAAGACTAGACTGAAGTGTCAGAAAATCAATTTGGATTCATGCCAGGAAGGTCAATGATGGAGGCAATTTACTTATCGAGGGGACTAATGGAACGATATAGAGAGAATAAAAGCATACGATTTTTATTTATTTGAAGAAAGCTTATGATAATACCTAGAGATCTAATGTGGAGGGTTTTAGAAAAGAAAGGAGCTATAAAGGGATAAATTGATACAATAAAGGACATGTTTTTTTTTTTTTTTTAATGGTTGTGTGACTATAGTTAGAAAACCTGTAGGGAAAATGAGTGAATTCCAAATCACTGTACATCAAGGGTCAGCATATACTTTTTTGCCTTAATTATGGATGAGCTGACAAGACATGTCGAAGATGAGATTCCAGTGTATGTTCTTGCCGATGATATTATTTTAGTCATTAAGACTAGAGAAGGAGTTAATGCCGAATTGGAGGTTTGGAGTGAAGCTTTAGAATTAAAAGGGTTTTAAGATAACTAGAAATAAAATTGAACAAATAGAGTGTAACTTTAGTAAATTTAGAAAGACAAATGAGGATGTAGTGAGAATTGAGAATCAAAGATACAAAAAGGTGAACATTTTACTTATTTAGGTTCGATTATTCATAACGAAGGAGAAATTGGAAATGACCTTAGTCTTAGAATCAAGGCAAGATGGGTTAAATGAAGGAGTGCATCTAGTATATTGTCTGTTAAGCGTATCCCCTTAAGATTGAAAGGGAAGTTCTATCGACCCGCAATTAGACCAGCTACTTTATGGCATAGAATGTTGGTAACATATGCATAAAGTGTGGGCGGCAGAAAAGCGAATGCTGGGAAAAGTGAGTGTAGCGAAAATGTGAATGTTGAGACGGATTTGTGGTAAGACTATAAAGGCTAGAATTAGAAATGATCACATTCAGGAGATGGTTGGCGTATCACAAATTGGAGATAAAATAAGTGAAAATCGACTAAGCCCAGAAGACCTATAAATGCGCCAGTTAGGAAGAGTGATATAGTCTACATTGAGGGTAATACAAGGAAAAAAGGAAGACCAAGGTTAACGTGGGTAGAGTTAGTAAAGAAGAATATGATAGCATGTGGTTTGACTAGGGCTATGGCCGTACATAGAGCGGAATGGAAACATGAGATTCATGTAACCGACCCCAAGTAGTTGGAAAAAAGGCTTTGTTGTTGTTGTTGTTGTATTTTTGTGTAAGAGAAATTAAGACATCCAACACTTTTTAGGCTAAATGGTAACAAGACCTGCAATTAGAATATATAAGGTTGGGTTTTTTAAGTAAGATCCATCGTGAATATATATACATATATATATTTGCATTGAAGCATGAGGATCATGTCTGAAGAAATATAAGATCAAATGGGTCCTGTCAATCCACAAGCAAAGGGTAGTAAATAAATTAAACATCCAAACAAAAATTAAACAGAGAACCAACTCAACCTATTTTAGAAAAGGCAAAAAAAAAAAAATCAACCTATTTCTAATGCTAAATGTTAAAAGTATAAAAGCATCTACCTGGTTAACATGAAAATCTTTGCGGTCGAATTGAGGAATAACAATTTCTCGGAATACTTTCATATCTGGAATCTCGGTCCCTAAGTTGCACTGATAAATAATGGCAGGAGTAAGGAAGCTAACAAACTTAATAAAAACCATACTATCTTTTCGCCGTGCAGAAATCGAATAAACTGTACCAATGTCAATGGGTAAATGATGCAGCAAGGAACCCGTTTGCAAGTCTCTTAATTGCAGGACATGTTTCACATCACTCAAGTAACAGACAACAATTTGATTACCATTAACAGCGACAGCCGATTCAAGCACATCCTTTTCGGCTTCTTGGACAACATCTGTCCAAGCACTTGGTTCTCTGACATCTACCCGGATTAACTTGTTTTTAGGAGCATCCTTATTACTCAGAAAAGTGAACACAGTATCGTCATTTGCTATAGCAGTATAAGTTGCATCAAATTTGTCAACAAGTTTAACAAATGGAAGTAGGTCCTTTTGCCCCCTGTGACCTTCAAGCCCATTAGGAAGTGTAGACATGTCACAATAATAAAATTTGTTGTCTGAAGCACTCTCCAAAATATACAAAAGAACATACTGCAAAAAGTATGGAAAATTAGCAATATATATATTTATAAACATTTTATGTAAGAATTTATTATATATAAAAAATAATAATAATAAAAAAAAAACTTAAATGAATATTCAGGCAATCACGAAATAATGCAAACAGAGAAGCAATTAAAATTAGTTCAATACTTCATTATATAGGAAAAAAATTGCACATATAATCCTCACGACATGATAATGTTTCTTATGTCCGTTTGGATGCAATAACCACATACCCAGAGAAATGTTGCCTAATTATGTCCATTGTATTAAACATTCAATTCCAGCAAGAAGGACACTCTTTCTTATTCAGCCCCATCAACTATACCTTCTTCCTGACATATATATCTATACGTTTCTTACGGAGCATAATGCTCCTCATGTTTGCTCCAAATTGTCATCATCAGCCACAAATTGGCCTCTCTCTCTCTCTCTCTCTGACACAAACACACAGGCAAAACTAATACTTTTGAGCGATAGGAATGACGGCACAATCACAAGAGGGCATGTCTGAATGCAGTAGTAAAATAATGCAGGCATGGTTAAGGAGGGGGACAGCTGCACAGTTCATAACAGAATTGTAATGATGAATGCCAGTCAGCACATGAAGGAAGGAATGCTGTCATAAATGAAATAAGCTTCAAATTCTAATATGGTATATTACTCGTCCGATTTACAAAATAATTAATGGCAGCACAGATCTAACCGGGATTAAGCTAGGCAAGATATGAACTACTCTGAAATTTATACATTTTTCTTTTCACCATAGGAAATGAATAATACACTGAATTACGAGAACAAAAGAGATAGAGCTGAATTACAAGTACAAAAGAGAGAATTCTCAACTAAAAAGAGAAAAGAAAAAGAGGCAAGACAAATGTACATCCTCCATACTACAAAATTTACATATGCAGTAAGACAATTTAATACAATCCCTGAACGCAACTCTTTTTTTGGTAATTACCCAGAATACGACTTTATCGAAGCCTTCCCGCATTAAATTATAAAACTAGATGACACACGGCAGCTCCATGGGTATCCATAGTCCAATTGTTAAAGTTAATGCTAATTTAAACACAACTCAACAAAGCCTTTCAAAAATACTTTAGGTATGCTACATAAATCCTGTTTTTCCACTCCATAAAGCATAATTTAACTAATTTTTTCCTACTGAATATTTTTTTTTCCCTGAATAATTTAAAATTTAAGTAATTTTAAAATTATGGATGCAAACAGATCCACCTGCATTCTAATCCCACTGCATCAGCCTCGCCATGGTCGAAGAGAATAATAGACCACTAAAAATTCTAAATTTTGTTATTTAACAGGTAATTTGGCCTTAATACATAATTTTGACAAACATACTGGAGACTAGGAAGCACGGACACTCCAAAATGGGCGAAGAATCCATGTTCGACACATGTTGGACATGCCAAAAAACGTGTCTGGAATTTTTTATTTTTTTTGAATTTTCAGACACGGCACGGACACTCCGCAGACACGGACACGGCACGGACACTTCTGGAATTTTTTTTATTTTTTATTTTTGAATGCTGATATGTTCTTTTTTTTTTTTGTTTTGTACTACCCTTTTGGTATTGTAAATGGTAAAAGTCCTATGTCAAATGATGGATGGGAATAAATGATAGTACACTGACTTGTTTTTGTATCTTTTTTGGGGATTAGCCTTTAGGTTTTTGTGAATGTTAAGTGCTAACAATAAAGTCCTGAATGTTAAACAGTCATGAATGTTAATAGTCCTTTATGCCCATGCTTTTGTATTTGGAGTAAAGTTGCAATGATGATTAAATGATACTAGTTATTATTCTAATGTCTTGTTTTTTATTTGGTTTTATAACTCTGCAACATTGTTCTTTTATAGTTTATTAGTTATGAGTTATGATTTGTGGTTTTTTTTTTCATTGTGAGGTTGATGAAAAATAGCAACACTCATTAATTTTTAAAGTACTACATCATATACATATATATATACTATTCGCCGTGTCCGTATCCTAATTTTTTTGGATTTGTCGTGTCGCCGTGTCGGTGTCGTGTCGTACTCGTGTCCCGTATCCGTGTCTGTGCTTCTTAGACTGGAGAGCAGTAGAGAGAAATGAAGCCTAACTCCACAAGTATTAGTTTCATTTTTTGGCAGACAAAACAAATCTTTTTGGCAAAAGGAACTGATATGGAATATTGATAATTACCAAATAGTAGAATATTTTTTTAATATAACAATTTAAACAACGTCATCCTTGCCACCAGCTTGGATCATATTTCAAAAAGATAAAAATTACTAAAACCTTCAGTTTTTTTCTTTCCATATAAAACATAATCACCTATTCTATAACTGGTCTCTCTCTCTCTCTCCTCCCCCCCCCCCCCCCCCCCCCCCCCCCCAAAAAAAAAAAAAAGTACCCCACCTTTTCTTTCCTAGTGAGAAATGATAAAATCCAACTCTTACCTTTGAGTAGGGTGATCAAGAATCTTGGCAAGAGTATAAACATCTTAGTATAAGCATTTCCCATGACAGCTAAAAACATGGAAAGGAGAATAAACTACTACCAGTGATAGACATGAAATTGGACCAATCATCTTAATGGTATTGTAAAATTTTTAAAATTGTGTCTCAAATTCCTAATTTAATTACATTTCTATTTTAGAATTGTATTTTATTAGGTAATTTCTTGTTTGGCAAGTCTTGGGCGCCAAGGAATTGTAATCCTTGTCCAACGAGGAATTGAGTGTGGAACTCTATAAATAGGCACCTAGGTTATGGGTTGAGACTTATGAGATTGAGAGAGATGTAGTCTCGTGAGAGAGTTGATGGGTAGAGGCAGTTTGTGGGTTGGTAGAGTAGATAAAACATAGAGGGTCACTAGTAGCGAGGAGATAAACTCGTAGAGTGGTACATGGTAAAAAGGCATGTAAATGGTGTTGGTACTCTGCAATTGTAATATCTCCACGCATCTTGGTGGAATCTCTTCTCATCCGTGGTTGCAGACCGGTTTTGGTTGAACCACGTTATATCTTGTGTTTGTGTGTGATTACTTTATTGACTTTCATTGGATCTTGTTATTCGCGTGTTTTCACTGCCCCAACAAATTGGTATCGGATGCAAAGGTGAAGGAGATCCAGAAAACACAAGGAGTCTCAACAAGTGCTAAAACAAGTTTCAGTTACAAGTGGAGTCAATCGGCTTGGTTGGTCACTATGGTCAGAAAATCGACATGGGTTACATAGCATGGAGCTCGAGTAGTCAAGGTGGAGCCGAAGTTTGACTGATCGAGTAGTCTACAATGTAGAAAATAAAAGTTTTGCAAGAGGATTGTGACCTCTTGGCATTCAATTGGAAAGAAAATGAGGAACTGGCTCTGTGGGTGGAAGTCCCAAAATAGAAACCTAACTTAATTAGGTTTCTATTTTAGAGTTGTATTTTATTAGATAATTTCTTATTTGGCAAGTCTTGGGCTCTTAGGAATTGTAATCCTTGTCCAACATAGAGTTGATTTTGGACCTCTATAAATAGACACCTAGTTTATGGGTTGAGATTTACGAGATTAAGAGAGATGTAGTTTCGTGAGGAAGTTGATAGGTAGAGGTGGTTTGTGGATTGGTAGAGTAGGAAAAACACCGAGGGTCACTAGTAGCAAGGAGATAAACTCGTGGAGTGCTACATAGTAAAAAGGCATGTATGCGGTGTTGGTACTCTACAATTATAATATCTAAGAATCATGGTGGAATCTCATGGATGTAGACCGGTTTTGGTCGAACCACATTATATCTTGTGTTTTTGTGTGATTGCTTTGTTGACTTTCATTGGATCCTATTATTCGCGTGTTTCCGCTTCCCAACATTAAAGAAGCCATTAAGAGTGTAAAACCAAAAAAAGCAGCAAAATAGGATTACCACGATAATTTCCTAAAAAGATATTGTGAATTGGAATAGAAAATTCTCAATAATGGCAAGTTAGAAAGCTTGTTACCTTCCCATCTTGCGTTACTGTTGCTGAATACAAGCTCTTCGGGTGGTCAGGATCCTTCCAACATAAAATATCTTCAGACTGATCGGTTCCAATTGAATGATAGTACACCTCATGATTTAAGTTAGTACTAGTTTCCATCCTAGCATCAAAATTTTCAACCTCCCTAAAAAAACCAAAGCTACTGACATCACAAACAGATATGTGTGTGTGTTACGGTCATGAACATCACATTCACTCCAAGAAAACTAAGATTAAGGAGTTGGTGCAACAGAATTAGAATAACATGATGTCAATTGTGAAGATTTCACCCTTCTCAGATCAGAATAGGTAGACAACAGCTGAATATTTGAAAAACTAGTGTGTAACATATTTAACTGTTCTTCCAGTAATGCATATCATTATTTATCTGATATATGAGAAATATATTATATCAACATATCTGATATTTTCCCAAAACATTTGAAATTGAAAGAGTTAATGAAAAACCGAATGGAAGAACTGGATTTTATTATTTCTCAAAGTTTTTCATACATCCTGAGTTGGGCAAAAGATTGACATCTTTTTTTTTTTTCCTAGTTGATAACTCACACATACTTGTCTCTTCTGAGACTTGAACCCCTAGGAAATTAAGAGGCTGATACCGCTAGGCCACTAGTGCTTTGGTAGATTGATAACTTTGACACTGGATAGTGCATCCTAGAATCCTCTATTGAAGATTTAATGGAGAAATCAATGAAGGAAAATCTTTCAGTAATTGATGTTGTTTCTTATTATTGAAGATTTGGTGTTACTGGAGGAATCAGTAGAGAAAAATCCTCCTTATTTCCTATTTTCTAATCATTTCTATTCTCATAATTTCTTCTCCTATATAAAGAGCTTCCACCATTGTATTGTGTATGAGTTAAGAGAGCATTATAAAAGTGATGTGGCCCTTTAGGCTCTTTCTGCCTTAATGGATGAACCACGTAATATCTGTGTGTTCTACTTGTTTTATTTATCTTTTCGCCTCCGTTTTATGCTTTGCAACATGGTATTAGAACCTAATTTCTCTTTCTAGGTTCGGACCTCTATTTTGGGGTATTCCCTTAGCATCCGAAATGTTGCTAAGGGTTTCTCGGTACTATTTGTGACTCGTTTGGGCTGCCGGTGTGTTCGGTAACATTATTTTCGTCTTTACCGTGTCTCCGGCAGTTTTTATCGACTTGTTTGGGTTGCCGATGTATTCGGTAGGATTGACCTCGCCTTTGCTGTGTCTCCGACATTTTTTTGTTGACTTGTTTGGACTGTCGGTGTGTTCGATAGCATTGTTCTTCGTCTTCTCTCTTCATCATTTACACTTGTTATCACTCATCATCTCAATGACAAGTTGAGCATTCACGCTCCAACTTGAGGAGGAGTATCGAAGATTTAATGGAGGAATTAGTGGAGGAAAATCTTTCAGTAATTGATATTGTTTCTTATTATTGAAGATTTGGGGTTCCTAGAGGAATCAGTAGAGAAAAACCCTCCTTATTTCCTATTTTCTAATTATTTCCATTCTCATAATTTCTTCTCCTATATAAAGAGCTTCCACCATTGTATTTTGTATGAGTTAAGAGAGCATTATAAAAGTGATATAGCCCTTTGGGCTCTTTGTGTTATGGACGTAGGCCTTAATGGCTGAACCACGTAATATCTGTGTTGTTCTACTTTTTTATTTCTCTTCACTTCCGCTTTATGCTTTGCAACATCCTCAATGCAGTTGTACTTACTTGGGAGCTGGAAAGCGAGAGTAGAAAAAACCTTTGTTATCATGCGTCCAGCTAATGGTGGTAAACTTAGCCTGGAAGAACATAGATATATAAATATGTTTGTGCATATATATAAACCCAATAAGTTCACAACTGAGAATGTGTATATATATTTAATACCCATATACTGATATACAATAAATAAATCATAGTTTCAACGAATACTTACCCATAACAGGGTGTCAGGTTCAACAGTCTTGTCGTCAACCCGCATAACTCTGATTGTGGCCCAATCACTGCCACTAAAACTAAGACAGTATGCAAAATACTTAGCATCTTGACTAATATTATACTCTTTCAATGAGACTGTTCCATCCTCGCTGAGCGCATTTGGATCCAGTAACACCTCTGCTTTTCCATCCAAACTATCCTGAAATAAATTTTCAACGAATTTATTAATTTACAAATGAAAAATAAAAAACCTCTTTAAAATTATTTTACAAACCTGCACATAGAGCACTGTTTGGGGCTGAAGACCAGTGTTATGGAAGTAAAAGTATTTGTCCCCTCGCCTGAATGGAGTTCCATATCGAGGATGATCATAAAGCTTTGTGATCTTCTCTCGGAGCTTTTCCCTCGTGTCACACGTTTTAAGCAACGATTCAGTCAAATTCACCTGCTTCTGAACAAACTCTTTAACTTCTTCGGCATCTGGATTTTCAAGCCTAAGCACAACAATCAAACCAACATCTATCAAATTCTCACAAGCACCTGTAAAATAACGCCTGTTTGCTTGAAGATAACACATTTCCAGAAAACCAGAAAACCAGAAACAAATTGCAAATCGTGGACAGTTTTAGACATGGACAAATGATAAATTACTGACATTTGCGATATTATAGCAACGGAGGTCCTACAGAATTTTACTTTCTTTCCAAACAAAAGGACACACACAACAAAGAGTTTCACACCTGAACAAATGATATATGTAATTGGCACTTACAATATCATCATAAGATAAAAGCATGTGCTAAAGAATTTTCTCTCCTTCCGACCAAAAAGGACATACACTGAAATAATTGATTGATGCTAAGATTTTCCCGCCTAATCACAACAATCAAACCAATATCAATCAGATCTCCCAAAAAAAACTGTTTGTTTCAATAGAAAACATTTCCAGATAAAAAAAAAAAAAAAAAAAAAAAAAAAAAAAAAAAAAAAAAATGCTATTGCAAATCATTGAGATAATTGATTGATTGATGTTAAGATTTTCCCGCAAGCAAATCAATATCAATAAGATTTTCTCAAAAAAAAAAAATCACCGTTGGTTTCAATAGAAAACATTTCCATGAGAAAAAAAAAAAGGGCCATTGCAAAACACTGAGATAATTGATTTGGCTATTGTTTACCATCGATAAGGATCTGGTATGTCAACGCCGTGATAGTTATCAACTACAGAATCGTCTCTGCGAGCTGTTGGATACTGCAATGGCACGTCCATGGCGGAAATCGAACACGTTCTAGGTTTGAGGAGAGAGAAAGAGAAGGCGTGAATGAGGGAGAGAGTTTTGAATATTTGAAATAAGGGTGGTGTGAAGAGAGTGACTTTTATAAGGAGGGGTTTGAGTTCGACGGAAGATAATGGCGTGATTGATTTGCGCGCGCATGAGATGATTTATGTGGTGGGGTGAGAGCCCGATACTAGAGCGAGGGAGGAGATTGAGAGGCGAGAGTGGGTAATTTATCGCCATTTTAGGGCCACCATGTCTTCTTCGTTTCATGTTTGCGGCCAACACTCCTGTTGTGCTTGTGCCAATGCATCAATGAAGAGAAAATACCTCAGTCGTTTTGAATGGCCTCTCTTCTTTTTAATCGTAATTATGAATGGAATCGTTATCCTCTTGCCGCCAACAGTGATATGTCGGGCCCACTGTGGCTTGCAACCACCCGCAACATTTTTACGTGCCTAATTTTTCACTATAGCTTTCTTTAGACACTCCTATCATTAATCGCAACGTTCCCATTTCAATTAAATGCATGCGTTCTTCTTCTTTTAACACTCGGCCTCGCGTATAATATACTGTTTAACTCTCCGCCTCATATAATATAACTTACCTAATAAATTCAATGAAAATTTCTCGACTTGTTTGGTATTTTTTATTTTTTGACCCACTAGCTAGCTTAGAAAACTTCCCTCATTTAATTTTCTATTTTCTTGCATTACTAATCGAAGTACAAAAAAAACAATAAAAAATGATTTTCAGTGACCTATGATCTTCTATTGCTATTATTATATTGTTACTTTTTGATTTTTATTAAATTTATATTTCATATATTCTGATTTAGTCTTTACTAATTTCTAGACCATTTGCTTCTAGTCGTTTTGTCAAGTTTCTAATTTTATTAGGGCGTACCCACCCCAAAAAAATAATTTTTTTTTTTATACTATAGTCAATTTTAACTCAGTTCATAAAATATATATATTTTCTTACTAATATTAGCCAACCTCATCAACAATTTCTAGATCCGCCCCTTTAAAATTCAAATTTTTGTTAAAAGTATTCACTAACACCATTTCATCGACAAACAACATGCATCATGAATGTTTTCTTATTTCATTCAAGATTAGTGTAAGTAAATATGAACTTTGTTACTTCACAACTGTGTAAACCCAGTCTTGGTATCCTCCTACATATCCTTAATGCTGCTAATAAGATTTAAAGTAATTTTTTATTTTCCTGTACGGCCCACCAAATTATATCCTTGGAACTCTATCACGTGTTTTCTCCAAGTACATGAAAACTGTAAAAGTCTATATTTGCTTACTTCGACATTGCTTAAGTAAATGGCCTAGCTTCAGGTAGATCTTTCTGGCATAAAACCAAACTGATTTTTGAACATTATGGTTTCATTCTTCAATCTCTGTTATATAATCCTTTCCAACAATTTCGTTGTACGACTTATTAATTTTATTCCTCCATAATTACTATAATTTTTTACGTTGGGACAATTATACTTTTCCTACATTAATTAGATATTGTTCATTATTTTAAAATTTTATTGAATAAATTCATTAGCAATTCTATTCCACAGTTCCTAAAGTTTCATGGCCTTGTTACTGCCCATCTTAAAATTTTAAGTGCATCCTCTATTTTCTAATGATCCTATTACCATTCCCATATTATGTCCATAGTATGTAATTTCTTCTTTGCAATGTTCTTCTTTCCATCTATGCATCTAGCATTTTCTCTAGCTTTGGTTACCACCTTTATTTTTTTTTTTTATTATTATTTTTTATTTTTTTGTAATTGGTACTTACACACTTATCTCACCGAGACTTGAATCCCTAACCTTCCTTTGAAAAGTACAAGTCTAGTACCGTTAAGCGACCGGCCTATTGATCTTACCACTTTATAAAAAATTTAAAAGTGAAACATTTTCTTTGCTTCACTTTTAAAAATTTTAGAACTTTCTAAACCTTATTTAATTTTTTTAAATTTTTGCCAAAGTTGTAAAAAATTATCTTGATACAAAAAAATAAAAAATAAAAAAATCAAATTTACAAAGATGCCCTTAAAATGGCTACATTGACCGTGATGAATTAATTGATTTGTGGTCTCATTTGGTATTGATGAATTTATGATATCACGTTCACAGTTTTAGCACTCCAACTATGGTGGCAGTGAGCACAAAATTCAATCAATCTTTGCACAAAGGGAGAAGATATTGAATGAGTTGGGGCATAGCACTAGCTTGGTATGCCCACCCAAAACAAAATACAATTACTTGTCTCACTCAAATTCGACCCACTGCCCGTGAGTAATCAAGTTGAATTATTTGTCGCACAATATACATTTATATCCTCGTACACATATCCTTAATAATGCTAATAAAGATTTAAAGGGATTTTATATAAATATATATAAATGTAAGACTCATGATCTCATCAAATTATATCTTAATTTAGAACTCTATCATATGTTTTATTCAAGTATCTGAAAACTATGTATAGATTTATTTGCTTACTTCCTCTATCAACTTGATTTTTTTTTGTACACTATGATTTTTTTTTTTTTTCTGAAGGTAAATAATTGTATAAATAAAAATTAGTTACAAAATTACAAAGGCCCATGCCTTGGAGTGAGACAAATAACCAACAAAAATAGGCCCAGGGCCAATCCCAGCAACATATAAAGACATTACTGGTCTAGAATTTTCAGACTACATGTCAAAGTCGTAATCGCATCCGGTGTTATATAGAGGTAGGGCACAAACCCTTTCCAACAATTTCATTAGATGATTCATTAATTTTATTTCTCAATAGCTATTACAAATTTGTAGTTTGCAGTTATTTTTGTATATTGGGATAATTATATTTTTCCTCCATTAATTAGGTATTGTTCATTATTTTAAATTTTTATTGAATAAATTTGTTAGCAATTCTATGTTGGAAATTTTTATATATAATAAAAATTATTTTGTGGCCCTATACACTAAGTTTTTTAAAATAGGATTGCAATGTGATTATTGATACTTGATGGATTAAGTTGTACTTTCTAATTTGGTAAGCTAATTGAGGGTATGGTTTTATACCTCCAACTTATTTGGTATGATTTAATTTTAACCATTTATATCTAAATTTCCATGATAGGAAGAGAAGCTTAGATATGTTTATTTGTAGAGAAATCGTCCCTCCTGTTGTTGTTATATATAAGGGTTTTAAATTCTTATTCAGCCCTGTACGAGACTAAATTATCTCTTTAATTAATTGTAATATTCTTGATTTCTACATATAAATCATTTGATTAAAACTCAACAACTGGTATGGGAGCAATGTTAGGGTTTAAATTTTTAGTGTAGAAATTAAAAAAAGAAAAATTGAATAAATATAATATGAATATTGATTCATATTGTTATGGACTTTCCATGGCGTGCAAATCTTTACTATTGGTGGTTTTGCTATCAATATTCCTGTAGCAGCGTCATTGTTACCCACTGTTGCATGCATATACTTATAGGTGCTGGATAGATTATATATATATATATATATATATATATATATATATATATATTATATATGAATCATGACCCAATTGATGACCATGTATTCCGACAATCAAAATACCAGATGCATTGGTAAGCCAGGTTTGGTTTCGTGGAACGTGTGTACTCACATATAGCTATATATAAATTCATAGCTATCGAGTCAATTAATCTGTGTTTTTTGATCCATTGCTTTTGATGCCCACTCTCGAAGCATGTAATTAAATAAGCAAAATAAAGTCACTATTACATGCATCAAATTTTTTTTGGTGGAAGATTATGATTTGTTCAAGTCTTGAGTTTCATGCATTGGAAAGTATTTTTTTTGATAGCATATATGGAGATAAACTCATTAGATTAAACCTGAGACTGATGCCTATACTTTTGGGTCATTTTTGTATTCTCTAATATTTTGCACGATCAAATAATTGTGTATGCACAATATAGATATATGTCTATATACTCAATTCTATATATATATATATTATTTTAAAATAAATAAATACCGTAGTATGTAAGCAATAAGGTTATTGAACATGAGTTTTTAAATAATATTATATTGTGCACAATTGAGCACTAAATGCTTTAAATGTCATGGTAAATATATATAAATGTATATAGTAATTTAGAATTTGCTTTTGATGAGATACCCACGGGTGAAGTTTGTAAATTCACAAATATAAAGTTTCTTTACACATATCGTGATACTCCTCGGATTCGAGATATGGGTTGATCAGGCCCAGGCCCAAACCCGAGGGAATATCAAACAATTAATATTTTAAAACGAACACAGCATACAAAGTGAATTTAAGAAAATAAAAGTATAAAGCTGAATGAAAACTAAAATATAAAATCTTTTAATATTAAATACTTAAAATCCCAAATAACAAAGATTAGATAATCCAACTCCAAAACCTCCAAGGGTACAACTCGGGAATCCATCCTGTGGACCCCTAATAAGAAAACCAAACTGAACTGTAAAACTAAAAGAAAACCATATGAATAGAGATCTTACGTCGTCGGAAGAATGAGTGGTCGTCTCTACTCAGCACGAACAAGCTTAAGCCTAGAACTGACGTACACCTGAAAAATAAAAGTGGGTCAGGCCCACGAACAAGTTCTACCCTACTACAATCCAAGCAGAGACTCGATACGCATATACATTCTAACTAACTCAACAATAACTATATAATCCGTGTGTGTGTGTGTGTGTGTGTGTGTATATATATATATATATATATATATATATATATATATATGTCCACACTATGGACTCTCACTGGACTATGATACGGGTCTTAACCTGAGTAGAAGGTAATATGCAAAACGCACCGGAGTAAGCATGACTACTTAAGCCTAACAGGGTACACCTCAACCAGCATAACCAGCTACGCATCCTACTGCATATATGCTCCCTAACCGTTAACTCTGAGACTCAAGCTCATGCCATGGTACGATAATAATATATTTAAAATCCGTTCACATTCATCCATAAGAAATCCAGTAAATCGTTCAACTTATTCAACCGCATAGACTTAAGTCGTTTAGCTTATTCAACCGCACAGACTTGTACTTAAGGAGGATTCTATTTTTATAATCCGTACCCTTATTCCAAAGTAGGTAGGACTTGGCAATTTGAACTAATCCAAACCTGGTATGTCACCGTCCCATACCGGTGCATACAATCCAGTCCATCCAACAGTTGATAGAATAATAAAAAATATAACTGTCAACCAATTCATACATTCCACAATTGACAATAAAACACTAAGTACAAATATCAATTG